GCTGTTGGTACAATTTTTTTTTTTTAAGAGGTTGGCGGCCTCTTTTTACCTTGCATTTGCCCGTCCACATAGACTACAGATTTGTGCGTGGAACGTATCCAGCAAAGCAAGGGGTGAGCCGGTACAGTACAAAGGTGAACTGTACTGAAAACGTTTGTGGCAGTAACCAGGATCCGAACCCACGACACTACTGCCTTGGACCCGAAGTCCGCGACGCTACCAACTGAGCCACCGACTCACAAGAAAAATGAAGGATATTTTCCTCTAGATGTGCAGAATCCCTTTATAAATTAAAATAGGTTCAAAAATAAGCACAAAAAATGAATTTTAAATTGTAAAAATTAACATGGACCTTATGGGTTGCCATGTTGGTGACGAAATAACAACAAAATATAAACAGAAAATTGAAAAAAATGGAAGAAATTCCAATCACATGTTTTATTTACAGCGTGGGGTGAAAATAGAGAAGTTTGCACAATACATAATTTTGGTTGCGTTTTCGACCACGGGGCGAGCTCTACATTAAAAATTATATTTTTCGTTGTTTGGTTTGGTTAAAAAGTTGGATTATTCGACCGAAATCAGTAATTTAATCAGCCCACTCTGACGGTGGCTCAGCACAACTACGTAATTTCTACTAGCATTGGAATAGTGTACCATTATAAATGTGCATTGGACATTGGCGATAGTATTGTTTGTTGACAAACACTCAACCGGAGAGTATGTGTATGTAGCAGCGGAACATCAAAGCCGATCTATAATGATTCATGTCATTCTTGTCTAACTAGTATGTGGAGATTAGGCAATTAGGCAGCAGGCGAGCAAATAATAGGTAACCAACATGACAACTCATGAACATTGGTGTTCAGCATTCTACGGAACTGTTTGGTGTGATCGAGCCTGTGGATTAAACCAAAGACTTTAGATCCTATTTTAATGTCACAGTGTCCCGCCTTCAAATTCTATGACGAGGACGATAGGCTCGAACTGTTTTACAAACAAAACAGGCCTAAAACTTTACAATAGGGTCAAAAGTGAATTTCCATGATCCAAAGCAAGGCCACACTAAAAAAAAGTTTTTTAGTGTGGCCTTGTCCAAAGTCAACGGCAGAATCTAGCGAATAGCAGGTTGGATTAGTTGGAACAAGACAGAAATAAATTCATTCATCGTCTCGGACTCGGGCGTCCAGCTGGCTGTTGCTTTCTTTAGGCTTGGGGAAGTTGCCAAACCAAATTTGACATGGACACTTGAGTATCATTTATCTTTTTCGATGTTTTTATGGAGGAGATATTAATGTTGACGAGTATTTTCCATAGCAATAACTTCCTAACCTGAATCTAATTGCATTTAAAAGAAACGGGTGTAGCTATAGGGGGTTTCGACCGCTGTAAAATACAAAATTACAGTACTTGACATTTTTCGTATCAATACGGAACAACTGGGTATTCAAGAATCAAAGGTATATTGTTAAAACAGTCATTTACTTGTTTAGCATTTCGGCGGAAAACAAGATGTGGCTAACTTTATAACCACAATGGCTACTGTATTAATCACCGACCACAATAATTATTCCAGGACAATGCATGACTAGTCTTGAGCTAATTAGTCATACCAATTGTAAGAGCTTGTCTGGCATTGCTGCTTTTAACAAACTGCTTGATTCTGTCGTCTTTGGTCTAGTAAATATTTTCATTATCCTTTTCGAGTCTTTTCAAGAAGAGGACCACCGTTTTACAGTGCACTGAAACCGTTAGTTTAGCTTAGCTTGCCTGATATAATATTAGTTTAATTTTATTGGTTTTCAATTACGCCAAACAAGGTAACGTTTTCCAAAAAAATTGTGGTTCTGTGTATCGAAAAGCAAGCACTACACTAAACTTATGTAATAAAATCGTCGATTTCTGTACACGAATTCTAACTTATATTGGCCTATAGAATAGTTAATAAAGTAATTAATTGTAACTAGGACTTTATTTACGGTACGGTACGTAGTTTATGGTACGGTAGTAAAATATAAATAAGTACGAGTATATTTAAGTATATTTAAGTTCTTTTGTACAGCTCTAAAACGAGGCGTTTGTATTCTCGGCGTCTGCCATAAATGTAAATGGGATATTTACATGTGAAATTGGGTGTTTTGCATTCGCGTTAAGATGCAGCGCGAGATTATGAAATTAGCAAAGACGAGATCCAGGCCAATCTACATGTTTACGGTCGGTTTCTTGTATTTTTTCTGTGAGAAGGGGGGTGGGGTAAAAAGGAGGTTTACAGCAAACCAGGAAGGCATTTTATAAATTACTAGAGGTCGAAAAACTGGGCCAAAAATATGTAATGTACAGACTTCTCAATTTTCACCTCACACTGTAAATTAAACGTGTGATTGGCTTTCTTTCCATTTGTTTTTATTTTCTGTTTATTTCATTGTTATTTCGTCACCAACATAGCGACCCATGCAATTTTTGTTACATTATAATACACAGAAACAGGTACTTTTTTTATCCGTATTCAACTCGCCCGGTAAGGTTTAACACACTCGCACGAAAATCCCACTTACTGGGCTAGTAACGTAACATTAATTCATTTTAGCGAATTTGCCATATAGGGAATACGCTATTACCGTAGTACTCATGGCAAGACCTGGGTCCGGGACCGATTTACTTTTTCTTTTTAAGGTCCCCAGAGGCCAAAAACACCCTCCGTTCAAATTCATGTATATATCCAATATCGCGATAACTCGAGCAAAAATTATCCCATTTTGATTAATTTTTTTAGAAACGTGTAAACCTACGTTTATTGGAACAAGTTCACGAACCAGCATGATCGGACTATGGGAACGATGGTTTATGGGGGATTTTATGGGGTAAAAATTGGGTTTTCCATTTTTTTACTCAAAAAACATAAAATTTCCCAATTTCTTTGCAGAAAATTTTGTAGAGCTTAAAAAAAGAAATAATTTTGTATACTGAAGTGTTGTTGTATGCCTAATATATTTTATTTATCTAATATAATGGTTTTAAATACCTTCAGTCACCAGTTCAAATAAGTCGGCTATTGCGACCTAGGTTTCGGCGCGAAGTTGTACCATCATCACGACTTCGTGCCGAAACCTAGGTCGCAATAGCCGACTTATTTGAACTGGTGACTGAAGGTATTTAAAACCATTATATTAGTTACTATAACCAGTTCAGGGGCAATCCCACATTTTATGATGTCGAAATTTTATTTATATTTGTCATGTTATTCTTATGGAGAATAAATAAACTGTTGAAAAAATACCAACAGGTCTTCAGGTCTTGAGGCCTGAAGATGGTTCAATAATGAACCAAAACTAGTTGCCAAAATCAGCAACAAAGGATTACTATATGCAGGTATTGTAAACCATTTTAAACTGTTGAAGTTTGCTTGTTTATGGATATTGTATTTAATCAAATTTGGCAATTTTGTTTATTTCATACTAAGCTATCAATTTTTTAATAAAAAAACACACCTACCTTCCCTGTAAAAGCAAGCCTAGGTACCCATTGAAATTAATGTTATTTAATTATGAAAAAATCTGAACATTTTCAGGGAATATTTTTTTTGAAATCCAGCCAGGTAAATGGAAATTCGTTTAGTCTGCAGGTTTGCTGCGGCGGGGGTATTTTGTGCTTATTTTTAGTGATTAGAGTTTGGTACTTTGGTTCCCGAGGTCCCGGGTTCAAATCCCGCCAAATCACCAATGGATTTTATCTAAGTGATAATGCCGCAACCCCTATGTGAAAAACAATCCCAGGCTCGTGCTTAGCATCCTACGACAAAAAAAATATAAAGGGATTCTGCACTTCTACAGGAAAATATCTTTCTAGCACTATGCGTAGATTTTCCCTGTGGTGCACACGAGTTCAGATAAAAGGTTTTAAAGAAACTTGCATGCCTATTATAGATTCTAGTTATATTGTAGTTCAAGGCCCAGAAAAGAATAATGAACAATGTTGTTCTTATAATTGAAGGAAATAGTAATAGGAATAAACAAACCATTGATTATGGAAATCAAAATAAAAAAGTTATAAGCACTTAGAACAATTTAAATAGAAACTTAGTTCAGTTGCACTGTTTAGTTGTGTTTATTTGCAATATTTGGTTTAATTCATACTAAGCTATCAACATTTCAAAAAAAAATCCTCAATAGCTGCAAACCTACCTAAGTACTCATTAAAATTAATATTATTTCAATAGGAAACGAAGCTAATTTATTCTTCAACGGTGAAATAAAAACAAATAATTTTGGTAATCCTAATTATTGTACCGTTCGTTATCAAACAAACACTTAAACAGTCTATCTAGAAATAGTGTCGTCTTGGAGTTTATAGTTATCAACATTTTATTTAGGATTATTTTATTTTTTTAGTCAGCTGACAACCGATTCTTTGTTTTTTGTTTAGATTTACAATAATTTTTAATTGTTGATAATTACAAAATAGTTCAGAAACACAAAATACCTCCTCCATTTAGAAATGTTGATTGTTTTGTTAGTGAATGGGAAAGTATCTTGGTCGGATTATTGTAAACATATATTTACGTGCCACAAACAGGACAAAAAACAGCTGTCGCCGTTATAATATGGGTTTCAAAAGGGTAAAGCATTAATTTAATTAATCCTTCATTTTTCTATCCAAAAACTCATCTCAAAACTTGTAAAATCTATTTAATAAATCCTGCAGACAAATCAATATACATATGCAAACCAAATTAGTTTTATTTTTGTAAGAAAATTTAAAAAACATAATAGCCTTGTACGTAACGTTTTTACTAAAAACAAATTTGATTAAAAAACTACAAATTTATTCTTTGTATATTATACTAGTATTATGCACTCAATTTATTTCAACAGTTGTTATTTTATTATTTAAAAAATTATTCAACTATATAATTCGATTTAAAAATCATAAGGATAGGGACTTTGCAAATATACTTAAGTGAAATCTTGCAATTGTTCTAAAAAGTAAATCCAACAACTAACCAGCAAAAAGCGAAGCAACGATAATCCACACAGTGGCCATGAAGACGTGAAGTTTAGGTTGGTCCCTATACAGGTCGCGGCGCCGTCACCGACTGAACTGACTCGACTCAACAACCAAGTCAACGATTGTTGAATCGGATCCCTCCCCTCAGTACCCTCATTTCCCTCCCCAGAATTCAATTTCATCGTAGGGAACGATTTGAGAATCTTTAATGTGCCGTAATTATAAATGGGTGCAACAGTGCAACACAAGCACTTTTTATGAGTAATACAAAAAAGTTTATTCGAGTTAAAAAGTAAATAATTTCTCTATGGAAGTCAAGTTTCCTTAACAAAAATATTTGCAAGTATTTTGGTGGTGAATGGGAGGATAATTTCTAGCTGGAGTATTGTTTATTGGAACGCTATCAAATTTAGGGTTTCGAATAAATCTTATTTGATCAATACACTTTCCAGCTAGGGGTGTAAACCCGTTTTAATGGTTATCGAATCTCAGCTAGCAAACTTTTAACGGGCTTACAACAATGCTAATTTTAGTATGCAATGGCATAAATCACAGACAAATACAGGGTGATTGATATAAGTGTGCCAGCCGTTTTATTCGAAAACCATAAGAGATATAAAAAAAAGTTAGATGGTAAGTGCCTTGGACTTTTTATTAAAAAAATTTTAGTAAAGTCGAAAAAATTATTTTAGACACCATTTTTCCAATATGTCCGCCAACTTTGATTTTTCTTATGGAACCAGCAAACCAGTATATTATGATGTATTCTGGTAGAAAATGTAATTTTAAGACGATTTTATTCTTGTGATTTTTTTCATAAACCTAACCGTTTCAAAGATAATAATGGTTAAAGTTTTGAAATTTCTGCATGAGGAGTCTCGATAAAGGCCTAAGCAAGCATGCCAGCTGTTTTATTCTAAAACCATTCAAAATTTCACAACTTGAACCATTATTATCTTTGAAACGGTTAGGTTTATGAAAAAATTACAAGAATAAAATCGTCTTAAAATTACATTTTCTACCAGAATACATCATAAAATACAGGGTGTTCCATAAGAAAAATCAAAGTTGGCGGCCATATTGGAAAAATGGCGGCTAAAATATTTTTTTTGACTTGACTACAATTTTTTAAATAAAAAATCCAAGGCACTTACTATTTAACTTTTTTTTATATCTCTTATAGTTAGTTTTCGAATAAAACGGCTGGCACACTTATATCAATCACCCTGTATAGATGCATAAAACAGGGTATTAAAATCTAATTATTACGATTTTTTTGTGCAAGAGAAGATTCTAATCTTCATGCTCACAAAATATAAACCTCTATGAAGATAGAGAAACTCTCATACATGCATGCCAAGTACTTCCCGTCCACTTGAAGTCTCTTGAACCTAAAATGATCAATTTCGTATTTTGACCAACAAAATCTTGATTTCGGGCTGAAAGTTCCCCAGCTCCCCCGCGCCCATGGATCCTCGCCCCTGGAGCCTAGAAGACCGAAGAAGAGATTTAAGAAGTGTTGGCTGTTTCTTAGACCAGACCTTTCTACAACATCTGAATTTGAATAGCTAATTGAATAGATCATGTTTTCACTGCAAGGACTCTAATTAAATAAAACTTTTTATAGACAAATGATTTGTATTGGTGCCTTTTTCAATCTTAAAGATTGTAAAATAAAGTACTCTTGTATTCTTTGTACAGTACTCTATTTTCGCCATAGCTACATAGCACGGATATTAGAACAGAAACAGTATGGATCAAAACAATGACGCTACTGGCCCGAAAGTGTACATGTTTTTATTAATATTTAAACGGAACGGTCACATCGTCCAAACCAGCTGCATAGATAAAACATACTCCTCAAGGAGTATGTTTTATCTGTGCCAGCTGTTACGACGATTTAGTGAAGACATTCGGGCCAGTGACGTCAGTAGCTTATGCATATGATTCATTGTGTTTCTGTTCTTACAATCATGCTACAGTAAGTAACGATATGGTTGCCGGACTCTTTGTAATACAAACAACAGAAAGTCCTGTTTACAAAAAGAAGAAAAAAAGGTGTTGGTTCGATCAGCTGGAGACTGGTATTATTTACCGATCCCTTTAACGGGGAACCCTATATGGGTCTTGACGTTCATGAAACGAAGATAAATCAGGCTTCAGGCTTTTAACTTGAACGAAGATAAACAATAAATATTAGATTGTTCATATGTATGGATTGTGTTTTGTTATTATTTACCCAATGTTTCTCGTAGTGTGGCGAAAAGTATTGTACAGTACTTGACTCACCCGACAAAGGTGAGACGCATAAAACCTAAAACCCCCACGCTCAGCAAGACTTGCGTGTGAACTAGGGATGGCCTAAAACAACGTCATCTGATGTTTCACAACAGTTTACTTCGCGCAACTGATGCGTTGTGAATCTAATGCGGGAAAGTCACTAAATGTCTCACATTAGGTTAGGTTAGCCTCCACACTGTAAACTAACATTTACTTACCGTCGTAACGTTTATTTACCGTCCGTAAACACTTATGGATGGATTTAAAACATGAAAATAAGAAGATGACACCTTTATAATCAAGTTTTCAGGAGAATTTCCTTTTAAAGCTATCGTAGTTTTAATCAAATTGCCGAAGAGTTATAGGGGTTTTGAACATAAGATTATTATGGATATTAAATACATTGTGTATACTGTAATAATACTTACAAAATTATAATGATAGTGGAATACATAATCAATGCAACGCTAATTAATTGCAATGCTTTTCCTTTAAGTCTGTCTCTGTTAATATCTAAGCAGCTGTCACTTGCGTGTAAATGAGTGAAGTGATAGGTAGGAGGAAGAAGGAACTTCATGAAAAACTGCAGAAGTACTGTTTCTGTTCATTTATCATTTCATTTCGCGTTTGGTGATATGATATGAAAGACCGTGGAAATTTAATTTTTGGTTTATAGTAGCATATTAGAACCTAAAAATCGAAGTAGTAGTTAGTGTAATTGAAGAGTGTTTGACTGTTAATAGCAATTGAATTTAATTATGGCAGACACAACAGTCGATGCTACCCGTCGATTGAACGTCAAGAAACAAACATTAGATGATGCCTATGCGGCTCCTGCAAATTTTCTAGAAATCGACGTTATTAATCCCACAACTCATGGGGTAGCAAAGAAGAGATATACGGATTACGAAGTTCGAATGAGGGTAGGTATTTAGTTTCTGTAATTGATCGATTACACCTAAGCCAATACATAATTTCATTATCAGATTTAAAATTACCTTTGTTCTTCTAATTTAATCAGGTTAACCTTGTAGAAATAGCTAGACTTTTAATGAAATTGCAACATTGATTTAGCCTAGTTTTAAAAAAAATCCTAAATTAAGTCGGTTGAGTAACTCAATTTTTCTATTTTGCAAATAGGTAAATACTATCTTAGGCTGTTTGTGAAACAAGTTGGTTCATGCTTAATTTAAAATTCCACTGAACTTGAAGATGAGATACTTCAACAGAAAGGTTAATTTTGATACAGATTTGAACTTTTTATCGTTAGGCATAGGCATAGGTTAAGTTGGTCAGCAAGGCCTGCTGTGTACGTTTGTACAAATAATGTTATTAGTTAAGGTAAACAATGGCTCTCTAGGCATTATGTAGGGCCTATTTGGGTACTACACTTCCATATCTGTTGGCACAAACAACCGAACAAGTAATATCGATTATTTGATTGTATACCTATAGTTATTTATAATATAATTTTTTCATCATACTATATTTATTGTTTTTCTTTCTTTCCTTAGTTTTTCCATTATATCGTAGATCGGTTGGTTTAATTTTGGAATCATTGTGTTAAGTATGTTCTTGGGGTCATTTTGCTGGAGGACTAAGTCATTTTTCATACAGTAGTCCTGTGTCATATTGAAAGCTATATAGGTGTTTACTTCTAGTTGATCTATGTTTCTGTTGCTGTAAGCAGCACAGTGTCGTCTGCATACATGACTATCTTGCTGTATTCCTCAAGGTGTTCTGGGAAGTCATTTAATAAACAGGCCAAACAGAACTGGCCCTAGGACAGAGCCCTAAGGAACTCCTCTGTTAGTCGGTAGCAATTCAGATCTGACAGTATCTGTAAACCCTTTTGTTGTGTGTTTTATTTCTACCATTTGCTTCGCCCCTTTAGATAACTTGCAAACCATTTCAGAGTCTCCTAATTTATGTTTATTTACTGGCCAACTGTACCGTAATAGAACAAGCTGATAAGAGAAAAAAAACTTCAGTTAAACAATAAATTGTAGGCTAAGTTAACTTAGTTAAGTTAGTTTGAGTATGCGTTAAGACATTTTAGACTGATTTTTAGGGAAAATCTAGTTCGAATAGAACACTAAATTATAGGGTTTCTATGGTCACGCCATTGAAAATAATTTGCCATTTAGGTTTAACACTTTAAAACCTAAGCAAGAGCTCAGGGTGATAGTTTGTTTATATCACCTGCGAGCGCTAGTGTCCTTAAATATAGTGGCACTTGTCGTGTTCGGCCGACGGTGGCATGGCTTAGTTGGCTAAGGTGTTACACTGATGAGTTGATGTCTTTCCACTTGGGCGGGTTTGTGCAGCTATAGTAGCCCACATGTGCATTCCATAAAAAGCTCAATAATGTGTGGCTTAGTTGGCAGGAGAGGCCTAACTTACCTTAAATAAACGGTGTGTGACTTGGGTGGAAGTTGACAGCTTTTTTTAGTTTAATAGGAATGCTCACGACACCTGTTTTACCTGTAGGCTACTTCTTTATTAGTATTGAGGAGGAGGACACAGATTTGTCTATTTTGCTTATATTTTAGTTAAATATGGGCATAAGTTAATATGTTAAAATAAATATATTATAAAAGGCATAAAAGGACATACCGTAACCTAAAAAAATATTAACAGAGAAAAATAATAAAACATTTGACTTAAAGTTAAAGTTGATAAGTAATGCATACAAAAAATGTATATATGTACATGTTAATGTACACTCTTTAAAATTTCTAGTAAATAAAGAAAATTTAACAATATACTAAATTGGCGTAAATACCTGCTTCGTAGTAATCCAATTGTTGCTAGTGTTGCAACTAGTTTCGACTTTCTACAAAGTCATCTTCAGGCGTCAAGGATGTCAAAGGGTGGTCACTTCATATGAAGTACACCACTTCATTTACACATAAAGTACATAAAAATTCGAACACGGACATTAAAATGTAAAAACGGCACATTTAATACAATTAAACAAACAAAATGGTAACTGTATTAAGGAATGATGTGACACGATCGGATGGATGCAAGGTCTAGACTCGGCATCTAGACCTTGCATCCATCTGATCGTGTCACATCATTCCTTATAATACAGTTACCGTTTTGTTTGTTTAATCGTGTTAAATGTGCTGTTTTTACGTTTTAGTGTTCATGTTCGTGTTTTTATGTACTTTATTATGTGTAATGACGACCTTCATATGGAGTGACCACCCTTTGACATCCTTGACACCTGAAGATGACTTTGTAGAAAGTCGAAACTAGTTGCAACACTAGCAACAATTGGATTACCTACTACAAACCAGGTATTTACGCCAATTTTATATATTCAACGTAATCCGGAGGCTAACTTCTAAAATAACAATATACATTCCTGCTTAAACTCCTTTAGGCCTACCTAAGCAACGAGTTACTGTACTCAAAATGATAGTTATAACTATTTTTAACAATAATTTTAAATAAATGGAGGATGTTATTGAAATTTGTTTGGCAAGTAGGCCTAATCATTATTTTGTTCATATTTTCAGACAAATCTCCCAGTTTTTAAAGTTAAGGAGTCAAGTGTAAGACGCAGATACAGTGATTTTGAATGGTTACGAAACGAGTTAGAACGAGACAGCAAGGTGAGTTTATTGTTCCCTTTAAGTTTAAGATACAATATGGTTGAGAGTGGCTTATCCAAAACAGTTAGGGATTAACTTGGTGTGTTTGGATGGCTCATTTTTGAAAAATCAGTTACTTATTGATGGGAGGATTGTGAAAAGATTTATTGATAACAATACAATAATTCTTGCTTACAATTATGTTTTTATTAGCGAATTTCCCTATAGGGAAGTAGCTATTACCGTAGGTCTCATGGTAAGACTTAGGCCCGGGACCGATTTACTTTTTCATTTTAATGTCCCCAGAGGCCAAAAACACCATTCGTTCAAATTTTTATATATGTATATATATATAGGTATATATATATATAGATTTATATATATATATATATATATGTGTCCGTGAACACGATAACTTGAGTAGTTTTTATCCGATTTTGATGAAATTTGGTTTGAAGGTGTAAGGCGGGATAAACTTGAATGAGTTCGCGATCCAGCATGATCGGACCATGGGAACAGGGTTTTATGGGGGGTTTTATGGGGTAAAAATTGGTTTTTCTCACTTCTTACCCTCAAAACACGAAATTTCCCAATTTTTCTCTAAACCTTCTTAAAGAGCTTAAAAAAACAAACAATTCAGTATATCAAAGTGTTTTTGTACGGTTATTGGTTACGGAGAAAACTAAAAAAATGGTAAATTTAAAATTCCCATGTTATTCTTATGGAGAATATTGTAAAATGTTGTAGTTTGCTTCTTTATGGATATATTTTGATCAAACTTGGCAAATTTATTTATTTTATAGTAAGCTATCAATATTTTACTAAAAACACACTACTTTATTAGTTTCCTTGTAGCAGCAAACCTAGGTACTCGTTTAACCCAATGTTATTTAAATAGATCAATTGAAAATCAATTCGGACAAATGGAAATTCGCTTAGACGGCAGGTTTGCTGCGGCGGGGGTATTTAGTTTTTACGACATTTACATGGTTTTCCATATAAACTCCCATTTTGACTACAATTTTTGTAATAGCTTCAATGTTATTTTAAATATCAGATATCTTCACGTTTTCAAGTCCTTATCCCTCACCCAAACTCCATTTATTTGCACATTTTTAACTAATTTTTTATAGAAACAATAAGCACTAACTTAATAGGTCTATAGGCAACACAGTTAGTTAGAATCAAACAACATGACGGAACAGCAAGTGTCGCTGATGTAGGTCCCCAGGCTGCTAAGTGTGAGTGGAAATGTCTGCATGGCCGATCATACGATAATCTATTTAGTAGGCAACACATATTTCCCTTAATATATAATAAATCTTGACACTTTTCTTTTATTCTTGAAAACATTAGTTACATCTAAAAGGTTCCAGTGATAAACAAATTCGTATAATATACCCAACTACATATTTCTGTAGTGACACTGTGGTGAAACCAATCACTGGATTGAATTGCTCTATCACATGAGGAGAGCAGGTATTTAAATAGGTATGGTTATTTATCACCCTGAAACTGTTGAGGTTATAATGGTTTATTTGTAAAAAAAGTTAAAAATAGCTTATTTATTTCAGATTGTAGTTCCTAGTTTGCCTGGAAAAGCATGGAAACGCCAGATGCCCTTCAGAGGCGATGATGGTATATTTGAAGAAGACTTCATCGAAGACAGACGGAAGGGATTAGAACAATTCATCAACAAGTAAGTGTAGGGCATTTAACAAAATTGTAAACTGTCTTTACTTGTCTACTAAACCATCTACCCATCTCAAATAGAGTAAACCAAACTGAATACTTACAATGAAAGGTGTTATTTAGGTTGTAGAGAAGCTGTAAGATAATCTAGTATTTGTTTATAGCAAGCTTGTCAGCATACAAAACCATTAATTTAAAAACAATCCAGTAGTGACAAGTCTATCAGATTATCACTGTAACACTTTTCTTCACCCATCTTTTTCTCTAAATATGCACCATGTAGATAGTGTTGTTAACATTCAAATAGATAATGAATGCTTCTTTACCTAGTCTTTATCAAAGGACCTGGTGTGGTTTCAGTCAACAGATTTCTTTGTTGAGCTTATCTTCTCATGCTTAACATTCCTGTGGATATAGTTGCTATGAAAATGTGTGTTCTAAAACGGCAACAAACCCAATTTTGGTGATTTCATGTTGTATTGCTAAAGGAGAAGTGCAAGATAGAGCACTGATATGATAAACTAAAGGATATCACACCTATTTTAGTGACTGTGTGGTAAGATATTTTTTTTCCACTACTCTTTTCTAATGGACTTTCCAATCAAATGGGGGGTGTACGGTACGTATTATACCGACTACACCGATAAATCAACTTCCAAATAAGATTTTAATTAGTTTTAAGAACAAAATCTTCTTAACCTAACCTATTCTAACCACTCTATTAGGTTTGGTTATAATTATTAGGTGTGTATGTAAGTAGCAAATGGGATTTCATTACGTAATACTGTATAGTAACTTACTGTAGGCCTACTAAGTACTTTTGATAGTGGGAATATATAGGTAACGGATTTGTACAGTTTTTTTATTGTTAGGTTGGCTTAGGGTAGTATGACAAAAAATATTGTACGCCACGCAACCAAGATGTGTTTTCTGTACTTGTATGGTCCTCTCGCACCAGAACAACCATATACTCATCCGGTAAACGCCTATTTTCCAGACCAGTAATATAATATACTCCGAGTGATACCTAGTAAATTATCAAAAGTACTGAACAGTAGTGTCAGATAATTTCTAGTAAAAAGTGTTTCGATGAAGCTTTTTCTTGAAAGTGAGCCATTTATCTATGCTGTCCGAGAATGTTGTAGGATGTATGTTTGAATTTGCACTTTTGTTAGTGTAAAAATAACTTCAGAAATTTGCTTAGCTAGCAGGCTGTAATTCAAGTATCTTTTCTAGTGATATCATCAGTAACTTAAGAGTCTTGATTGAAAATTGAGCAGTTTGTTCCTGGCACTTAGTTGTTCTTTGTTCCGTAGGATCGCTGGCCACCCGCTCGCTCAGAACGAGAGATGTCTCCACATGTTCCTCCAGGAGCCAGTCATTGATAAGAATTACGTCCCGGGCAAGATCAGGAACACATAATGAAATAGCTCGCCCCGCTCTTGGTTTGCTGCTGACATATCTTTTCAAAATATGTTGGTTTTGTTTCACATTCAGCAAGCTAAGACATACAATATTCTCTGTCAACAATCGTGAATGATTATAAGTTCTTTCCTTTGTTCGTGTGAACAATAATAAAGTATAAAATATATTTTTATTATGTTAATATTGTGATTTATATCAGTGTTATGCAAAGTGTCATTGTTAAACATAATATATTAAGTTATTATATGCAAAAGCAGAAGTTTGTATGTAGCATTATGTATTAAATTATATTTTGTGTGTTTACATAGCAATATTCCATAATTAGGTATATTATTTTTATAACCGTTTCGCATGTTTGTTTTCATCTTGTTTGTTTTATTATGAATGTGTAACATGCTCTAAACCCATAGGTACAATGCATTGTAACATTTTCCATCATTTTAATGAATTGGAAGAGGCAAAAACAGAAATGTTTATAAACATTTGATTTATGACTTGTAATTAAATTAATATATATATACAGTAATTCTATAATAAACTTTCCATACAGTATACTCAATTGTTTTGGTCTATTTCTAAACCTTATAACTGGCTGGGTAGCTGAGTGGTTATAGTGCTCGCCTAGTAATCAAAAGGTAGCCAGTTCGATTCTGAAAAAAGTCAGTAGCTTTTTGATTGTTCGAAACTGGACCCAGCTGTTCCTGATCATTGGGCTTTAAATAAATGATCCTGACTAATGAAACCGCTGATCTTAGTCAGTAACAAAGCTACACAGGTCATCACACACCATTCTACACTCATCCTTCACTCATATTTGGGTTAAAATACGCACCTAGGTGGCGTCCCCATCTCAATGATTGATAATTGATAATAATTTATAATAGCACTATAGGCTATTTTAAAACTACAGGGTTATTACATTTTAATTATTTACACACATCAATCAAATCATCTAAAAAAACAGTGGGCTGGATATTAATCATATAAAAAATAATAAATTTATTAGTTTATTACTAGAAGTTAGGCTTGAGATAATTTTTACTAATCTCCATAATTTAATGGAAATTGTGCATCAGTTTGTTTTAAACAAAATCAAAATAAAGAGACAGGCCAAAGTAATTTGTTGTATTTTTCATCCAAAAGTATTATAAATTAGGTGATTAAACTCAATTGCAGAACATTTAAGGATTTTACACATCTTTCAGCATAAGACAAATCAACCATATTAGGATAAGAATTTGAGTTTGGCAGAATCGTGGTTGGAATTCCGACATCGGCCACACAAGATTAACTCAGGCTATTAACCAAAGTAGGTTTTAATAGGTTGGGTTGTTTTTAACTCGCTGATTAAACTGGAAGTGGTCAGAAGGTGCAATTAATTGATCTAATAAGAGGAACCAATTTGATTCAGTGGCTAAAATAAACTGTTTTTATACTACAACAGCAGCTTTTTAAAATTCAGTACATGCGGTGTTGGGCTGAAGTAGTTCTATTTATACCCAGTGGGAAATAATCAGCTAAGGTCAAGGACACCTTTTTTGAAAACTTTTAAATATTGTAGTTTCATTGTTGCAGTCTTTTTTTGACAAATTGTATTTAGTTTACTTTAAATCTGACCAAGTATTAGTACTTTGGTCAACATCACTTATTTCAAACCTATATCATCAGGTCTTTATTAACTATCTACAACAAACTGATAAAATCCTTTTTACTGATTTATTTTTTGTATCCAAAATTTCAAAATATTGGTTCAGGGGAAGCAACAGTTTAAAATATTCCTTATTGCAATGGTTGTGTCTTGATATATTTTGTAAAACAATTGTGTCTGGACATAAAATCATCGTCTTGCTACTTCAATTAGTACTTACTTGATGGCGAGGATGAACTGCCTGGACTTTTCAAAAGAAGCTCGTGAAGCATTGCTAAAAAGTATTTTTCTCTTAAAAAGGTTGCTTTGCATGATGTGGTAAAACAATCATCAAACTAGAATGATCTACGGACTTCATTCAAACTTTTTTCTCTTAGGATGAACAAAGGTTAATAAATAAATTAAAACAAAATACAATATGCAGGTAAAGCATTTAATTTCATTCAGTATGAGAAGGTATATATTTTACTTTCTGCATTGGCGGTCCCAGGATTTCATTTTGGGGGGATGGCCTGGAGGGTATGGAATATCCCCCAGAAAAAAGGGGGGTCCGGGGCTCCTAACCAAATACAACTTTTTATGCCCTACTTAAAATGGCCCATAAAACTATTTAATGACCACTAGTGTACCTGTTGCTCGAATTCGAGCAATTGCTAAGTAGGCTATTACAGGCGTTATTTTAAAACGAATAACAGTCATAACTTCTGATGAATTTAATAGATTCAACTTAAAGATTATGGAAATACTCAAGATGTACATAACAGATCGATATATTCAACATTTCTTGTAAATAGTGTTTTTTTTTTACAATTAGCCTTACTCATAGACGCATTAGGTTATGTCCATAATAACGATTGTAAATTCTAAAAAAAAAAACATTATTTATAATTCTTCTATGACTTTCCTATGTTTCCATAATTTGCAAATCGGTTCTTTCAATGATTACTAAGAAATGCAGTACAGTATGTTAATTCAGTTTTCTTTTTATTATATTAAATCGAGGCTCTCCAGCTTTTTTCTATTGTAATATTTACGCCAACCCAAATTCAAATACCGGTAGTAAATATTTCATTTCAACCAAGTCAGTAAATGTTTGCAGCAAACTCCTCGTTCCCACTACCAGGGCCGTCGCGTGGTTTTTTGGCGCCCGGGGCGGGATGTTGCCAGGCGCCCCCCCCCCCCCAACACAGAATGAGTGATGATGTCGCTATCTTTGTTTTAATCCCCAAAAACAGACACCTAAAGGGATTGAATCACCTTACAAAAATACTAGAGTCAGGAATTTGGAATTGATTAATAGGGATAAATTACTTAAATTTTGTATGAAAATCTTTTTTAATTGATGATAACCAAATCCCATTTAATTTAAGAAAATGTTAAAATGTATTAAAAGCACTATACTGTATATGTTATTAATTAATAGAGAGCAAATTGAAATTAATGCAATGTATGCAAAACCTCAAACCAAACCTACTCTGAATAGAATTTTTATACAGAATAAAAGAAAACCATGTTATCATATTTAGATGTGAGATCCTAAACATTAAGTGTAAATAACTCTTAATCACTCATCAAACTAAGCTGGCAGCTCAGCTGAGACTGCCGTAGGAGAAAGGAGTGATTGGGGTAGGGGTGGTTTCCAAGGTCGACCGTCGACCGGTCGGGCGAAATAAAAATAGAATACGGCAGCTACGTGTACAGAGCAACACCGCGAACCGCGACATTGCAATATTAGATAATTAAGACATTGCAATACATTAAGATAATTAAGTTGGGACAGAGCCTTCAACTTCACAGCGGAGTTGATTGTTTAGGCTATTATTACTAAATTTAATTCAATACTATATTGATATTTAATTTGGAAAACATTGCAAATTATAAAGTGATTGGTATCAAATAATGTATTTGTTCAATAGAACTAGTATTCGTGGTTATACATAACTTTCCAAAATACGTTATGTGCATCTAACTTTTTTAAATTTTGTTGCATTACTTTTGCCGCGGCGCCCCCCTGACCGCGGATACCAGGGCGGTCGCCCTGGTCGCCCCACCCACGCGACGGCCCTGCCCACTACCACCCCTGGCTTAGGTCTGGGACTTATTTGCCAGGCCAATTCCCCGTGAAAATCTTCTTTCTTTTTAGGCTACAGCCACTTTCAATCCTCGTTCAGACACATTATGTGTCCAAAAGCCTAACGACACGACTCCCTTCCCCATGCCACCCTGAGGAATAGGGATCATTGAAATTCGCTCTAACCATTCCTCTCCCCTTCATGGGCAAGTTTTCATTCCTTTTCTTTCTTAGTTTTTGTTTGTTTCTTTTTTTAAATTTAAAAGGCTGTACGTATCCCTGGTTTTTCCTAATTCCCTAGCTACTTTTCTAAACATCTCAATTGTTTCCTTGTCACTCGTCATGTTTTATTTTCTCATCTCTAGACCTCTCTTATCCAAGACTTATTCCTGTTCTCTCCTATTTGTCTCCTGAAGTGAACAATTTATAAATTACGTGACTCGTGGTTTTTATTTCTCCACATCTACATACTTCCTCTTCCACCAGGTGAAATCTCCACAAATTCACCTTGAAATTTTCCATGTCCTGTGACAAACAGCGTTTCATAATGGCCCATCTCCGAATCTTTGTTTCAGTCTCCTTCTGATGTTAGGTATATATCAGAACGTTTACCTTTAAAGCTTTAACATGAAACACTCTGCTCCCAACGCATTTGCCATTCATCTAATATCTCCTCTCTTCTGTTTCTGATGTAGTCCTACCTGCCTCCTTGTCTTCCATAATCAACAGCTTATTCAGCGATTATCCAACAGTCCTAAATTGAATGTGAAATCTTCAGGTGGCTGTTGGAGAGCACACTTAAACCCAACACGGAATGGTGCTTGCTGTATTCGGCTATCAACGACAATAGTATTATTTGTAGTTTGCATTTCGTTCGCGTCTACCAGTTAAAAGTTTGTCGGCCTCCTCCTATTGGACGTCTTATAGTCTCCATTATGTCGAACGTTTTTTGGTTATGTTTTGATTTTGTGCAAATAAAAACTAGTTTAAAACAGTGAAACATCAATCTTTTCAAATAATCTAATAAATCTTTATAGCACATGTCTCCAATTTTAGTATAACCAGCTGTTTCAAATATTAGTGACAATTTCAAAGGATTCATCTGTTCAAATGTATACAAACATTTTCTCCCTAAGAATAACATGGGAACTTTGAAGGCCACTGGGGCAGAGCCCTAATGGCATTCCAAAGTGTTTTTGTTTTATGGCAAAACTACATGCTAAGACCTTTCTAACGAAACCTTGGACATGGTGATCAGTAGCACCACCACTCCAAAACAATTATGACAAAAATATGCCTCGCGTATTAAATATATAGATTCCCGTACATTTCATGGCCAGTAAAAAATTAAGTACAATTCCTGGATTTCCTGGTTGGTAGACACCCTGCTCAACGGACAGTAGAACCCTCATATCCGACCTCGGAATAACCGACTCCTTGGGATATCCAACCTAATGTACGACCCCGTCTAGTTGTTTCCTGTCTGGGGCAATATCACTGAGCGTAATTGGTTGTCTGAAAGGCCGATCACAAATGTTGCTGTAATCGCGGCAGACAATCCCCACTGTTACCGATAACAGGTGTTGCCGCCGTTGCAAGAGATGGCATAAAGGCACGGTGACTGGATGTTATGCTCCTCCCCATATCTGACCTTTTTGCCGTTCCAACCATGGCCTGGTCTCTTCATGGTCGGATATGAGGGGTTCTTCTGTAATTAAATACTCAATATAATGAATCCTTGGTTTGGTCCCATGGAATTTGCTATAATAAAATCAATTCAACAAAATACACAATTTACATTGTATTGAGTTCTTCACACACGGAATAGAAATAAAAAATCCAAAATATAAATAAATATATTTATTTTATCTTGGTCATTGGTTTACATAAAATGTAATGTATTGATCTCAAACCTTATATGAAAGAAAAAAAATGCTAACTACATCTAATAAATATAACATATAAAGCTGAAAATGACAGTACACTTTTGTTCGTATCCAAATTTAACATTCTAAACACAGAATTAAAAATACTAGTGTTTCTGACAAGCACTCTACTATGTCCCAAATTAACAAAACAATTGATTTTAAAAATAACAGGAGACTTTCTCTTAATCTGTACTCCTCGGGGCCAAGGCCTAACCGAATAATGGGTTTTCCAGTTAATAATATTTTATTTAAATTTTGGGAGAGCATTGTATTTAGACATGTGATCACTGGTCTCAAATCATTCCCACGAGAAAAGTTGTTTCAGTACCGCCCACTTTCTTTTGATCCAGTCCGGCTAAACCTGATAAGCATTGTCCGGATAAGAGAGAGTCTACTAGCATTAATTTTTATTACCTGTAGAAATATGACGATTTAAAATAACTCAAATGCTAGCCTAAATAATACTGATATTGTTAAACCTATCTTAACACTATTTCTGTAGGTAGGTCTACATTTTGTGATGCGTTAGGTATATAATAATACGTTTATAAATAAATATATCTCTCAAAATACTTTCTATAAAAATATAAATGTTATACATCCAAATAGCTATCACTTATTAATTCAGTCAATACGTTTACAAAGGTACAACAATATTCTGTAATCACATCAATTTATACCTAATTGATATAAACTTGATTCAACTACCAATCCTTTGTGGGAAAAGTAAATATAGTCTAAAACATTGTTTGGTGGACTTTTTGATAATTTTGGTCTTGGTTTGCTTTGAGCCTTACATTGCTATCAAAATCTACTCATGTGATATTAAAAGTACTTTTTGGTAATATCCGTTGCATAAAATCGTGATTTTGGCACTTGGAAAAAAATTATATATTTGTAACACTTCGTCCAAAGTAGTAGCAACGGGTTCAGGGTTCAAGCTGGAGTTGCATTTAATGCATTCACAGTGTGAAATTGCGACAATTATTCGGCAGGTTGTCTGCACAATAAAAGTTCACGATATTGCCGTGGTTGCGGTATACAATTACTGCTTGAAATAAAACTATTCTTCCCTACTAATCCGGTGCACACCGGAACTTATGTTTCTTGCAAATAGTTTTTGTGATAGTGGTCTGACCCAGTCATAACCTCAAACCACTCTCACACAAGATGCACGGACGGCTTGGGACAGCTCTGCACACTGTTGATAGACTCAAAGTAAGCTCTCCACAGCTTCGGGTCACTTACACACACAGTGCCACCGCCTCTTAGAGCCTGCGTCATCTGCAATGTAACAATTGATAGATACAACTCACATAGACACTGTTGAAATACCTATACAGCTCCAGTATGTAAAAAGTGAAAAATAATAAATATCTAAAAAATATGACAAAGTGCACTGGAAAAAATTACTGATTATGTCTAATACACCAACTTTTTAACCAAGCCAAAATTATAGGGCGTCTTACTGTAAGTTAAAACATCTTTTTATATCACATTAACTATTTCAGTACCGTAACTAAAACAAAGATTGAAAAAATAATTTAGACAATAACAATAGGAAACTCTAGGAGTGGCTTAATCAACTACATTATTTTTAAATAATAAATAGGCTACAGCTGGTTCATATAGATGGAATGTCTACTTCAATATCTAAAATTCAATGCCACGACTCGTTTGTCCTGCATAATGGAAACCTTTATGAAAGAATAGGGTGGAAGAAGTGAGTGAAAAATTACTGTATACATTTTAGTAGTACTTGACATACCAATATTGTTTTTGTTTTCTGTGAATCAAAGGATACTGGACTTTGAACTGTTGAGTACCGGTACACCTTCAGAACTATTGGCTGGGAGACACGACTTTTTGAACATTTTGGGTGTGGGAAACGGGCACCGGTGAGGTTCAACTAGTGCAGTGGAGATATCACGCTGAGAAATGTTGTAACGTACTATATGTCATAATAAAATAATATAGGGGGTTATAGACTTTGAAAGCATTTTTATGATACCAAGTCACTTACCGCCCTGTTGATGTCTCCAATGCAAATCCAGGGGTTGTCCTTCGACTCAGATACGGCCCACTTGGAGTGGTCCTTGGTTGAGTGGAATGATTCTCCTACAACATTGATGTTGACACCTTCCACGTTCTCCACACTAAATAGCAAAACGAAGATGAAGATAGCTTACATATAATTTATCCTAATCAAAGTTAATTGTTTTTCAGGGTGAATTAGAATACAAGATCTCTGGAGCGCAGCCAATAGAGTTTACCTGTAAGGGTGATCACATGAGGAGTTCAGACGTCCTACTCCGTTGGGCCAAGTCTCTACGAGGAGATTAGCCTGCAGAGCTGCAGCGACCCAGTCAGCATACAGGTCTACCAATACAGCAAAATAAGGATTAAAACCATTACCAATGACGGGGACGCAATCTGCAATCTCCCAAAGCTCCCTAGTCAGTGGTCAGTGGGACTTTTCCTCCTCTACATCAATCATTGTTGGGAAATGTAAATTCTAAAACTACCTCAGTTTGTGGAAGAGTACTTAATTTTTTAATACGTATCGTACATAACCAAAGGCAATTTTAGATAAGTCAGTTTTGTACACACAGCAATTTGCTCTCACTATATTAAGTCTACAAATACAGACAAAACCAACTATTGACTTTTTAACAATTCATTAGCTTTTAGTTTACAACAGTACTCAGAAAGTTAGTTTATGTCGAGCAGAAAAGGAGTCGTTATGTTGCAAAACCTCAGCTGTCAAGCTGTTGTTTCAAATGTAAGATCAGGTGGAGGGGATGGAATAACTTCACCATCAAAACCACCTGAATTTTGTGAACAGTAAGTGAGTAATTTATCTCACCCTTGTCGAATTTTGGCGTTTTGGCAAAAGTATGGAAGACAGTTCCCTGAGAAGAAGTGATGGTGTCGCTGTGATAGTACGGTGGAGAAGTTATGTCTGCGCCAAGTGCTGCCTTGGTCAGTTGAGGATATTGCGGATCCAGCATAACTGGGGTGGAATTGGCGAAGATTTTTGGGTCATTAAACATAAGCTGTAGCCCTAAAACAAGACAAATAATAGGAAAATGTAAACTACTATTTGGGTTACAAATCTTATTTCGGATCAATGGCAAAAGAAAATAATTAAACGTTGTTGGATACTACACAGAGAGGTTAGGCACAGGAGAAACATGCTTGGGACTCCCATATGCTTTCAACACTAATATTTTGTGCCGGAAATATACTTGTGCAAGGAGGAGCCCGAGCGACGAGCACTGGGCGGAAATTCCTATCGCACAGGGCACAGTGTCTTCCTCAACCGTGAGCGTTGAAGTAAAAGAAATAAATAAATTAAAAAAAATGTCTATTTAACAATTGTTTTTCAGTACAACTGCTTTTCAGAACGTCTTTCGTCGATAACAATAATTAAACTAACAAATAAATGAAAAGAACAATAACAAAACAGAAACAAGACAATATAAATAACAATAATCCACCATCAGTGTACAATTCATTTATCTTAACTCTAAAGATAACAAGGCATATTTTTTGAGGCTAGAGGTGAGGTTGTTGTACAGCTTTGGGCCGAAGTACGAGAAGCTTCTCCTTCCAAACTCAAGCCTCACTCTTGGAAAGTGAAGCTGGAGACTTCCATGGCGGGTACTGCGCTGAGAGACCTCCTGAAAGAGAGCCTCTCAAGAAGGTACTGTGGCTCCTGTAGGACAAGAGCCTTGTGCAGCATGCAGTACGTCATGAAACTGCTAAGGGCCCTTTCACACGAGGCCACTGGTGGCCGCCACTGGTTGCCCGCCACAGCTTTAACATTGTTTTAAATGGGACCTTTCACACGCAGCCACTGTAGTTGCCCGCCACTACACAGTGGCCGAGCAGTGTTTCCTCGCGCAACTGCTAGTCGGCAACCGCCGGCAACTGCAGTGGCGGCAACTCGTCGCGGGGCATTGAATTAAATGGGAGCTTTCACACGTAGCAACCAGTGGCCGCCACCGTGGATGAGCGCGCAGCTACTATTTTGAATCAGTTCACGTGCAGACTGCAAAGACAAACACACTATGGTAGTTGTTGAGTGTTTTCGTGTTGAATTGTTTGTTTGTGAAAATGAGTGATCAGAAGAAAAATAAAGAGGACGTTGCTGAAAAAGAAAAAGACAAAGGAAAACAACAGAATAAGAGAATAAACAAAATAATAGAAAACAAAGTTAATACTGAAGATCTAATTTGCGAAATTGAAAAGTAACCGGCAATTTGGTATAGCACACCTGTGTCTTTGCCTTATTTTCTTTATTATCAACGCGAGAATAAGGAGATGTTCATTGTTCGACAGCATTTTCACAACTACCATTGTACAGTGGCTGTATAGGTCGGCCGCTTAGAAAGTGACCTCCTCCAGCATTGGTTTAGCATTAGCGCGCAGGTCATTTTGTAAGCGGCCGAACTATAGTAAAGTGGCTTGTAAGTTGCCTGTATCATCCACTGCAGTTTCCCGGCCGGTAACTGGTGGCGAACACCGGTGGCCGCCACCAGTGGCCTCGTGTGAAAGGGCCCTAACAGTGTCTTCTGTTGACATCCCCGCTACAGGCCTGAATGGAGTGACGTGTTCAATTTTTTTGAGGCAAAAAATGAATCGAATAGCAGAATTTTTCAGTTTTTGCATTTGATTCATGTCTTTGACAGAGATGCTGTTTCCATAAGCAGGGAGACAATATGTAAACACCAACAGGACCCAGTGACTGCATGAAACGCAGCTACGCAGATTCTGGCAGCAGACTTCTGAACCTGTACAGCCCTTTCAGCCTTCCTAACGCGCGCCAAGAAGCATGTGTGACACGGTCAGAGAAGGTGAGGCTGCTATCGAACACAACGCCATGATGGAGTACATGATGGATCATGAGGGGGGTGGCGGTGTTGGACTATGCCCTAGACATCAGCACTAGTGCTAACCACTTAAATGTACCATTGAGTGTTTCCTCTGTATATCCTCTGTGGCCACTGTTACTTTACTCAGGATTAGTGCATCCCAATTAATAATCGTCATTTATTCAACCACTACATAGCATTGGCCAGGTAGTTTAAACACTAAAAAAAATTAATAATACAGAAAAAAAACATGTACTTACTTGGAAAAAAATAACGGAAGAGGATTCAAAAGAAAAGCAAAGAATTGTTTTTGAATTGACACAGTTAGATAGTTAGAGGAGATGAACTAGCATTGAATGTGAATAGAAAATAGTTATTTTAAAAGATCAACTTAAAGTCCCAACAACGTTTTTGATTGTTTTCACTTACCTACAGTCTCAAGCTGTTGGGGTTTCAGCGTGATGCACAGGAAGCTTTGTCCGTTCCGCAGCCCTGTGTGCGGGTAGCTGTATGCCGCAGTGTCAGGTGGAGGGGGGTAGTGAGGCACACTGTGAACCAACCAGAACCCTCCTGACTTGCCAGCAACAACCACCCCTTTAGTGTGACCACCGGTCAAAGTAGTTTCACCATTGGGAGGCTGGTCATTGTAGAGTACAAATAAAGTGTCCTAAAATTTACACCCTTGGGGTTTGAGAATGTTTCCATAACAGGAAGGGAAAATGAGGGATATTTGTAAAAAATAAGAAAAATAGAGTTGTTTATCCTAAAAGAAAAACCAAAATTTTTAAATATATAAGATTAATGTTCCCAGTTTTTTTTACAGAACCGTAATTTGAACCTTAGGTGTGCCTAGTTTTGATACACAGACTTTTCACTTAAGCAATAGACAAATTATTACAGCAGACCGTTATCCAAAGCCCGATCATCTGAAACTGAATCTGAATCTAAACTGACTTGGCGCTAAGTTCAACCAAAGACCGCTGAACTCAGGACGTTCCAAGATTGTTATGTTGGAGGTAATCAAAACTCGGGAAAGGCAAGTTAACATGTAAATGTTGTTAATTAAAATGTTATAAATATTTTCCTCCTAATGACCAACTATACGGAATAGTTAATTGAAGACTCTTAGTACCAATTGTTCTAAATAAATGACTCTCTAAAGTGTGCAAAGCTTTAACCTCAAGTTTTTTTAGTTGAATGATGCAGTACTAGAAACCTTGTCAAAAAGGTTAAATGTTGAACTGAAAAATTAGGAGAGGCTAACTGTTTGCTAATAAAATGTTAAGAGAATGTTTGTTTATATAGTTTTAGAGCTATAAATTTTCAAAGTTAAAGCCATATTTCCAATAGACTACACCAATTAACTTGATCAAATTACTGGTACTAGGGAAGCCTAGTCACAGGATTTTTTAATAAGCTATTAGAGGACTCATGCTGCTCCGCAGCGTTAAAATAAATATAATATAGTATAATAAAATAAATATAATGAAATCAGGTATTTCACTGAAGGAATTATGTTTTTGGTCAAATAATACAGTAGGTTAATATATGTTGATGCTTGATGTGAAATCTTTACGTTCATGACTTCAATTTAAGACCTAAATCATGAAAATCGGTTGGGTAGAAGAGCCAAACGAACTAGGAAAAGAAAAACCAAATTTTTTAATATATAAGATTTTACTGAACACAGGGATTAACTTGCCTGTGTAAAGGGTCATTGCTCATTCAAGACACTGTAATATGTAATACTAGCAGAGTACCCGTCCTTCGTACGGGGTTGGAATATAAGTATAAAATGCTTATTGCAGTTATACTCAAGCTTTGTGTTTGCAATAAGGGAGGACACAGTTTGTTAAAATTTGCTTTTTTTAAATTTACAGTATTTTATAGTATTACACATCTACCATAGCCATAATTTTCTACCACTTCACCTAAACAATAGAGAAAAATAAATTATCAACAATTCGCAAAATATCACAAATTATTCATGAAATGAAAAACATAAACATAACTGTAAACAATCCTACTTTGACAGTTCTCATTGCGAATCACAGTTTTTTGTTGCTGCTTAGTTCAAATTAGCTGTTTTCATAAATGCAAAAAATATAGTGCTGCACCCTGTTGGTAAATCTTATAACTTTTTAATGCTTTTCCATATCATAGAACCAACTTTTTTAGTTGAAACAGCTGACTAAATTCTTTAATTCCCTTTAAATATGAATACTCATAAGGTTAACATGGGGAATTACAGAGCCACTGGGGCGGAGCCCGAAAGGATTTTTGAGATAAGAATATGCCTATATGTTAATCGGGAATGTAAGCTATCATCATGCCAAATTTCAGCCCAATCCGTCCAGTGGTTTAGGCGTGATTGAACTTCAAACAAACAAACAAACAAACAAACAAACAAACAAACACACAAACTTTCACATTTATAATATTAGTAAGATAAGATATGATGACTGCAGTCACAACAAGATTGCCTTTGCAACTTATTCTGTACAGGTACTTCATTACCACATAGTCTCGCAGTTTATAGTTATGGGTAGATACAGTTCTTAAGAAGAAAAAAATAAAGAAATTTGTACAAGAAATGTTTATCAAAATTAACTAGCTCATCATGAAAAAAACGTTTGTTGTACCTTTGAAACATTGCTAGACGAGGCATCATAGAAAAACGATAATGTCAATCCTGGTACTGATGTTGAGTCGTTTATTGACTTCTGAGACAGAATCCATCCTGTGTCCTTGGTAGATGAGGAGTAGGCGTAACCGGTTCCATCTCTAATAAAAGGATTCTTGTTATCTTTCAGCTCAGGTATTTTATAGATTACAAACCTGAAATACAGGAGAGAGTTAGTAATTTGAAATAGCTGACAAATGGTCTTAGCACATCCGCTGGTTGTATGTTGGTGGAACAGGAGGTAGGAACAGCTAATGTGTGAGTTAAGGAATATTTCTGACAGGAAATGTCAGGGTTTCAACATTTCATAGTGACTGTATAAAGCATAATACAACATAGTGTTATCCTGATTTGAATAGACCTCTAGGCTTTGTTGGCAAAAATTGAGGTAGAGATAAATATTAGTGAAATTATGTCCGCTAATGCAACAAACTAAATTTGCCGATATCCACTTACCAGTCAACTGGATTGTTATTTTCATCAACACATGAGTATGCGCAGATTCCCGAAGATAGGAAGGCCATGGCAGAAATAAGTACAAGTAGAAACATGTCTTTCAAACAAGTATAGGTACTTAAACATCTGAAACTCAATAAACACTAATTATTAACGTCAGTTTTTGTGGAGTGTATAGAAGAAAACATTATAAAAGAGGAAATGAATAACACAACTAGGGCCTAACTCAAACAAGAAAAGAGTTCCAGGCAGTATTTCCATTAACATTTGTGGTTGATTTTTATAAAATAGTTTCGAAACCTACTTTTTAAATTGTCCAAGTTTTCAAAACAATCGGTGAATTAATTTAAAATCAAACGGTTAAACCTCCATATGGGACATCCTGTAAATTCATATAAAAACTCCACTTAATACTAAGCACTTAATTTATGCTTAGAGCCTTATTATGCGCGGCCACTCCAGTCGCGCTCGACCGCGACTGGCAGTCGCTTCAGGTAGCCACAGGTGTGGCTAGGGGTAGCGACAGGTGTGGCGAGGTGACGCGTCTAACCGAATTTTATACAGACTTGCATGTACTTTCTCTGAGTGAATAAGTAAAGAAGCTGATCTGTTTATTTTAATTTTACTTAAGCGTCGTAAACGTAGACGAAACAAAAGTATTGGGAGGCAATCCGTTACTACAACTAAGAACTTCAGGAGAATTTTTCAGTTTTTATATCATGATCTCAGAGAGGATGACAAGATGTATTTTTGTTGTTTGATAACCTTGTAAAAAGAATGACTTATCTGTATCGCACAAGAAAATTGATAATTTTTTTCAGCTAAGGAGAGGCTAGCACTTACCTTAAATTACATATTATAATGTTTTTGAGTTGATATAATCATAGTATTTGTACAAAATTAGCAGCAAAATTTGGCTTTGCGTTGCCCGGGTCAACATAAAATTCACAATAATGTTGATAATTGAGTAATACAGCCTGTATCTTGAACTTAACTTATTCAAATGGTCAACATCTCAAATGAAAGCCTTTGTTTTGAGGGGTAGCCTGTTTTAAGACCAAGACATGTAGAATAACTTAAATAAAAATGGAGTTACGATCTATCATTGATTGTGGATAGATGTTAAAATAATAATAATTGTTGTTGATTCGTGATTCAGTGTAGCGTGTGCTTCACGTACGTCCGATCTTACAGCTCAAAATTAAAGCTGGCATTTTACTGAAGGTTCTTAGACCAAAACTGTATAGGATAATGTAATCAGAACTGGCAAATGAAACAAATCTGATTTATTTTTTTGGTCAAGTAATGAAGTAATACAGTAGATACATGAATGATGATGTTTGGTAGCAAATATGTTCGTGAATACATTTATTTTAAGACCAAAATTATGAAAATTGGTCAGGTAGAAGAGCCGAACCAACCCGGAAAAGAAAACCCAATATTTAATAATATATAGATAAGATTAATATAATAAAATGTTGAAACAAAAATCAGGACTGAGGTGAGGGCAGAGAGTAGGGTCCGCTGTGGCCCGCGACTGTGGCTGTGCGTAATAAACAGCATATGATAACATGGCCCGCTGGTGACGCGGCAGTCGCGTGGGCTCGCGACTAGTAGCGAGGGTGCGCGACTGGAGTGGTTAGTCGCGGCGACTGTCGCGTGCCTCGCCACCGCAGTCGCGTCGCTTAATAAGCTCCATATGATAACATGGCCCGCTAAAAGTGGCCTTTGAGCAGTCGCGGTCGCGCGCCACTCGAGTGGCCGCGCATAATAAGGCTCTCAGTATAAGCATAAAATATTACTGATTAAGTTTACAGCTGATTAAATATTAGGCTACTGGTTACTGATGCAGGAGAATGCCCATTCATTAGGCACTGCTTCATTCAGTAGCACACTAGGCTACTGCATGGCCTGCAATTCACCAGACAACAGGACTCCAGCACATATTCTGCCCACCATACTTTGACAACTTGGCTATGAGTACCTCAGGAAACACCACGTCATGAGCCTTGCTGAGATCCTAGAGTCTCAGGATGGTTGACTCGTTTTTATAGAGGTGTATAACGTCAACAACACATGCACAGGTTATATAGATCTTCCACCTCCATCTCTATCTAAACCGTGCCGAAGAGAGGGATGGTTGGTTGTTAACACGAATATTTGAAAAAAAAACCGGTATGGATCATAAAAACAAACAAATGGCGTTTTTGGCCTGAAAATAAACATTAAGTTATTTACTTACCATTGCTTGAATGGAAATGCCAAAACATATGTTAATGCTATTAGGCCCTACAGTATTAACTTATATAGGATTCAGGCCAACATCGTCATTTGTTTATGTTAATACTTTTTTTAATACTTTTATTTGAAATGGCAACCATACAAATGTAGGTATTTTAAGCCAAGTATGAATGGAGATGAGTGTAGGAGTAGCGCGATCTTGTAGTCTTGATAGTGACTAAGGCCGACTTGTTCCTTAGACACAGCTGTCAATTAATAAAAAAAATAGGTATTTACCTTCGTCTACAGCTCAATCTGTTGTATCTTGAGTTACGGCCGTTTCGGCATTATAATGCCATCGTCAGACGTTGAACATTCAGCTGAAGTAGCGTCGTCATAGTTGAAACACATAACACGAACACGAATAACATTTTACATTTACTAACAAAAACACAACGAACCGATCGTTGTGTTTTTGTTAGTAATTGTAAAATGTTATTCGTGTTCAAGTTATGTGTTTCAACTATGACGACACTGCTTCAGCTGAATGTTCAACGTCAACGTCTGACGATGGCATTATAATGCCGAAATGAGCTGTAGAGGAAGGTAAATACCTATTTTTAATTAATATCACAGCTCAGGGGCTAAAAATGGATTTTAATTGTTAATGAATAGCCTAGACAGCTAATGGCAACTAAGAGACCTACAGTTTATAAGTTAGTGGAATCCGAACCACTTTTTTGCCATGGTATATACGAATTGGTCTAATTATCAGGATAGTGCTGCGGATAGTCGTATTACTCACTCGTGCGGACGTTAATCCACACCAGGGAGTATCGCATCCACAGTGCATGCCTATAAATATCCACAATTCGTGACCTCCTAGTAGCTGGATTACAGGACGACGCCACCCGTCCCAGTCCATAATGATCCATACCACGTTTTATGCTGGTTTATTGGCAGTTTCACATTGATGTTTTATTCTAGTATTTGTAGTTGTTATACTCTAGGTAAACCATACATTTCTCTTCGTAGCTGTCTCCAGCACCTTAGAAAGCACAAGGAGTATGGAGATGGAGCCACAGTTTGACAGAAGTGATGGTATGTGACATGTGCTACGTAAACAATAACCATTGTTTTTGCTATATAGCCCTATAATCATAAAACTAGAAGCTATAATAAATCAATAGTACCCTCTTCCTGGTTAAACCCATTCATGTCTATTGTTAAAACCTTAAGCATAACTAGGCCTACATGATCTTAAATTTTAAATTAAATATGTATCAACATAACTGGGTAGGGTAAGTTAATTATTTAAAACATACCAATAAACCTAAAGATAACAGCGGATAGACCCAATAACTGAATTTACTGTAATCCTGGGCTGGCTTGAGAGTTGTTATTGTTTTGTTTATGATTATGTTGTGTTGAGAGTTTGACACTAGAAGTAGGGACGGACTTTGTTTTTGTCGTCGACGTCGAACACTTGACAGTTGAGTTGACACAACCATTCATAACACAAATACCACTGAGCTATAATTCTAACTGGAGGTAGCACTGAATGTCAAAGATGCGTGTCGCCAGCCGCCATGTTTGCGTGAGGTGGGTGTCCATAAGAAGCCATATTATTGCTATAACTATTATTATACTTGGCTTAAAATACCTACTTTGTATGGTCACCATTTCAAAGAAAATTATTAAAGTATTAAAAGTATTCAAGTATGACAAAAATACTCACTGCTATACCAACCTAGTTATAAGAAGCCATGTTATTGCTATGGTAAGAAAACTTACTGCTATACCAACCTAACAAAATCAGCGACTCGCTTTTGACAGACTTCTGCCATGGCAGTGCTACCTCCAGTTATAATTTTAGCTCAGTGACAAATACGCATTACGCAACGCATGAGAGTCAAATACACTACACGGGAGACTTCGACGGATGATTTCGACAAATATGCGCAATGGTTATCACTAACGATGCAAACATAACAAAATTTACAGAGATAATACCATACTGCAATGCCAAATGTCGAAATAAACCTAACTTATTATGCCGTTGATTGGTTTGAATACACCAAGGGTTAAAAAGTTTTCAATTTCAAACAATCCTAGTCAGAAATCAGAAATCTTTATTCGCCATTGATCATATTACATGAAATAGGCTTCGTCATACAATATAGGCTAAATCTATCATAATACTAAGGAAAATAAAATCTACACATATAACAATCATAAACCTATATAGGCCCAAATACTACTGACAATAACAACATTTCTTGGCCAATTCTATCTACAAGTGTTAATCTAGGATCACAGGACAGTCTAAAAACTCAGTTAAACAATAAAATGGATTTTTTAATAGCCAATCGTACATTTTCTTCTTGAAAACATTGACTGGTGCAGTTCTAGCATATGAAGGAAGTTTATTGAAAAATCTAATGCAGTTAATTTTGTGAGATGACCCAGTTTTGGCTAATCTGTGCATTGGGATATCAAGTCTCACCTTCCCTCTTGTGTCGTGGTTGTGTATGCTCTCTCTTGTGACAAATTCTTGTAAGTTCATTTTGATGTGCATTAATGAGCAGAAAATATACAAATTTACAACAGTGAGAATTTTAAGTTTAATAAATAATGGACGACAGTGTTCCACAAGGCTCGCCCTACACATATTGCGAATTACTTTCTTTTGAATCAATAAAATATCATTTGTTTGTGAGGAATGGCCCCATAAGAGGAGACCGTAGGTTATGTGTGATTCCAGAAGACCAAAATAAGCCATTCTAAGGTACTCGCCAGAAACAAAATCACTTAGTTTCCAGATAAGATAGCTAACCCTGGATATTTTTTTACATACATGTTCTATATGGGATCCCCAGTTTAATTTTGAATCAATATATATCCCCAAAAGTTTTACGGCTTTATTTTCTAAATCTCTGTTTAAACTTAAAGTAATAGTTTGAGTTTTTGTTTAATTACAAAACAGTTTATTGGCTGAGAACCAGGCAACTGCATTACTAAGGGAAGACTCAGCCAGGGTGTTTAAAATTTCAATTTTTCTATTTCTACAGAGAATTGTTGTGTCATCTGCATAGCAAATAACAGAGTTTGACACAACATTTGCTGGCAGGTCATTAATTGCAATTATAAAGAAAAATGGTCCTAGAACTGAGCCTTGCGGAACACCTATCCTTACATCTCTCAAAACTGAATTATTGTTTTTGACTGACACAAACTGCTTCCGATTGGTCAAGTAAGACTCAATTAATTTCAAAGGTTCACCACTAATTCCATAAAATTTTAGTTTCATTAATAAAATTTCAAATGGAATGCAGTCAAATGCTTTGCTTAGATCACAAAGAGAGAGCATGACAGAATTTTTCATTTCGAAGGCGTCTAAGGTTTATTCATTTACAATTTTCAGAACTGCAGTTGTTGTATTTTTGCCTTTCCTGAATCCAAATTGGCTACTTGTAATAAGATTATGACTTTCAAAATAATGATTTAGTTGATCATAAATTAAGGATTCTAATATTTTGGAAAAAATTGGGACAATTGATATTGGACGATAATTTTGTGCCAAATGTTTTTCACCCTTTTTGAAAACTGGAATTACTTTTGAAATTTGTAGTGATTCAGGAAAATAACCAGATTCTAAGCATTTATTGTATATGAGCGCAAGAGGTTTACATATAAGGTGAATGGTTTTCTTGACAATGTAGTTGGATAACCAATAACAGTCCATGCTTTTGGAGTTTGAAAATTTGAAAACAATGGCAACTATTTGTTCAGATGTTATTTTACTCCATTGAAAAGTAGATTGACACTTTGTTTGAGAATGCAGATATTCATCAGCTGAACGGCCCACAGGCTTAATTTTACTACCCAAATCTTTTACTGAGTCAATAAAAAAATCATTCAAGTCATTGGGATTCAGTGGAATGTCCTGTGTTTTTGTAGGAGCACTTTCAAGAGATATGATATCCCACGCTGCTTTACATTTATTAGGGGCTAATTCAATGTATTTTTCACAAGCACTTTTCTTTGCAATAGATAATTTCCTTCTATACAGCTTTTTGCATTGAAGGTAAGCAGTGTAACCATTGTTGGCAAGCTCAGACCCACACCTTGTCAAGTTTTTGTACACCGTATTCAATGTAAGCATCCTTTCTCTGATTTCATTTAACTCACAAGTGTACCAACTTATTTTGTTTTTGCCTTTGACATTCCTAGAACATTTTTTTACAAGCGGAGAACATTCATACCATAGACTAACATATTTAGTAAAAAATGACATAAAAATATCAAAAATATTAGAATCTTTGAGATAACTATCAGTAATAAAATTAAAGTCTAATTGCTCCAAATTATTTACAAACATCTCTACAAATTCTTCTTTATGCCGTCTAATGAATACATAATTTCTTTTATCTTTGGGCTTAGTGGCTGTAGGAACATGAAAGTACTTAAAAATTAATGGATCATGATCAGCAAAACAACCTGGTACAACTTCTGTAGAGTAATTATCACTTGAAAAATTAACAATTACATTATCAAGGCAAGCATTTAAGCGTGTAGGCAATTTATTAGAGCAGACCAAATTTAGTGACCTTAGAATATTTTTAAAAACAATAACCTCATGCAAATTCAAGCTGTTAAAATCAATATTAAAATCACCACAAATTGCAAGTTTTGACTTATATTTCTGCAGACTTATCACAACCGCTTCAAAGTTTTCAAAGAAGACATTTACATCACCATTAGGAGATCTATATAAACTAATAACTATTAAATCAACATTATCTAATCTTATGCAGCTAAATTCACAATGTAGTTCCAGACAAAATTTACTGAGATCAATTTTTAAGAAATTCAAACCATTACGTACAAAAATCCCTGCTCCTCCATTTTTTCTCTGCTTTCTACACATTAAATCAGCAGCAATATAACCTTTAGGAGTAAAAATATCAATTAAATTTTCAGTGAGCCAATGTTCAGAGACACAAATAACATCAATATCATGACTATTACTAAAATGCTCAAGCTCTAAAACCTTATTGCGAATACATTGAATATTGACCTGTAATATTTTAAAGGTGTGAACTTCATTGTCACTCTGTGTTGATTTGCTCAGACTTTTGTTAGCTACTTTACTATTGAAACAACTGTTTTTTTCCTTAAAAAATATCTAGATTCATTGGACTGCTCAGATTTACTACTACATGCCTTGATATTTTTTGTGACGTTATATTCATTCACAAACAGTTCCTTCTCACTCTGCATCGATCCCAAATTCTCCTGTGTGTTTACACTCGGTCAACAGTGTAGCAATACTCATAACACAACACAGCACTACAGCAGACGGAATTGTGCTGAGCTGAAACTGAAAATACAGTATTGGTATGACTGTGACAGTAGTGACAGTACTGTACCGAAATGTCAAATTGAAGGGATCTCTAACCTAACACCGTTCCGTCAAGTCAAACAAAGCTAACAGTGTAGTATACCTAACTTAGTTATAATGCTTGTTATTTTCTCATGAAACTTATAAAAGGGATTGAATTTGCCTAGTTCCATCATCCCATCTTGTTTTAAAGACTATCAGGGTTTACTTAGTACATTAACCACTATCATGGATAACCTGGATTATAAGAAAATGTGCAGATTGTGCCTAAGCAAAGACTGCACTTTAACAAAAATATTTTCTGAAAATGATTCAGCTCCTTTTACTGACTCATTATCACAATTAATTATTGATTGTGTTGGGATTGAGGTTAGTATAGCCATAGATAAAACATACTGTATAGCCTAAATGAGTTTTTTAATACTTTAAAATTGATAAGTTAAATAGGCCTAGTTAGGCTAGCCTACTCATCTACATCTATATATCTATATATATCTATACTTATTTAATACGCAAGCAGGTTTTTTGTGACAATTACTCCTCCGAAACTACTGAACCGAATGACATGTTTTTGGTGTCATTGGAAAGAGAGTAACGTGAAGTTGTGCAGGAAACTTTCTTTTTAGGGAAATAATGAGAGAGTGAGGCCATGGAGCCCTTTAAAGTTTTGTGTTTCTCCATAAGATTAACATTGGAAACAAAAATTGTTATGAAACTCCAGCTGTTGTCAGAAATCAAAAGTGAGAAGAAGAGCATATGTTAATTGTAAACAGTCAATAAGTTTGCTAATTTAACAGTTTGCTACAAACCTGCTGACTTGGTTGAAATTTGTTTTAAAATAACGCCTGTAATACTTAGCAATTGCTCGAATTCGAGCAACAGGGACACTAGTACTTATTTAATACGCAAGCAGATCTTTTGTGACAATTACTCCTCCGAAACTAATGAACCGATTGTCATGTTTTTGGTGTCATTGGATAGAGCGTAGCGTGAAGTTGTGCAGGAAACTTTCTTTTTAGGGAAATAATGAGAGAGTGAGGCCCTGGAGCCCTTTAAAGTTTCTTATTTCTCCATAAGATTAACATGGGAAACAAAAATTGTTATGAAACTCCAGCTGTTGTCAGAAATCAAAAGTGAGAAGAAGAGCATAGGTCAATTGTAAACAGTCAATAAGTTTGCTAATAAAACAGTTTGCTACAAATATTTGCTGACTTGGTTGAAGTTTGTTTTAAAATAACGCCTGTAATACTTAGCAATTGCTCGAATTCGAGCAACAGGGACACTAGTACTCATTTAATACGCAAGCAGGATTTTTGTGACAATTACTCCTCCGAAACTACTGAACCGATTGATATGTTTTCGGTGTCATTGGAAAGAGCGTAACGCGAAGTTGTGCAGGAAACTTTCTTTTTAGGTAAATAATTAGAGAGTGAGGCCGTGGGGCCCTTTAAAGTTTCATATTTCTCCATAAGATTAACATCGGACACAAACATTGGGCTGCACTTTACTTTAGGTCCTACACTCATTCGAATAAAATATCGAATATTCGATTGTTTCATTTGATATATTGTTTGGTTAGTTAGGTTAGGTTAACCTTACCTAACTAACCAAATGATATATCGAATGAAACGATCGATTAATCGATATATCGATTGATATTTTAACTCGAATGAGTGTAAGACCTAAAGTAAAGTGCAGCCAAACATTGTTAGCGAATTTCCCATATAGGGAATAAGCTATTACCGTAGTACTCATGGTAAGACCTGGACGCGGGACCGATTTTTTTTTTCGTTTTGAGGTCCCTAGAGGCCAAAAACAGAATCCGTTCAGATTCATATATATATATATATTTATGTTTTAATTTAGGTGTTCATTTAATAGGGCTGCTGATATATTAAATATTTAAGTAAATAAGTACAACTGAGCACCCTGAATATTATATTTTATAAAAAGAAGTGACATGTTTCGGACATTAGTCCATTTTCAAACTTCAAAATACATTAAACACTTAACCGTTGTTTATATAGTTTGTTTGTAAATAAATATGATTTATATATACAGATGGTTTATAGAACTAGACAGGAATTGGAAAAACTTTTTTGTTACTGATTATTTAATTTTAAAATTTGGTCAAAGATTGGGTTTCTTGAAGGAATTTGGCTATTTAAAATATGATTTGGATTTTTTAGATTTTCTTCGTATATTTTTAGATGTTAACTTCGTACATGTCACTTCTTTTTATAAAATATAATATTCAGGGTGCTCAGTTGTACTTATTTACTTAAATATTTAATATATATTTATATATATATATGTCCGTTAGCACGATAACTCGAGCAAAAATGATCCGATTTTGATAAAATTTGGTACAAACGTGTAAACCTACGTTTATTCGAACGAGTTCGCGATCCAGCATGATCGGACCATGGGAACGGGGGTTTATGGGGGGTTTTATGGGGTAAAAGTAGGTTTTTCACATTTTTGACCCCAAAAACATAAAATTTAGCAATTTCTTTCCAAACCATTTTGTAGAGCTCAAAAAAACAAATAATTTAGTATATTTAAGCGTTATTATGCGCCTAATGGTTACGGAGAAAATTCCAAAAAACTGTAAATTTAAAATTCCCATGTTATTCTTATGGAGAATAAGTAAACTGTTGTAGTTTGCTTGTTTATGAACATATTTTGATCAAATTTGGAAAATGTTTTTATTTCTTACTAACTATTAACATTTTACAAAAAAAAAAAAAAAAAACAGTTTTACCCTCCCTGATGCAGCAAACCTAAGTACTTGTTAAACTAATTCTATTTAAATAGGAAATAAATGTTATATTTTTAAGTAGACATTTTAGTGTAAATCCAATCAGGCAAATGGAAATTCGCTTAGTCGCTTAGTGTTGACTGTACAGCGAGGCATTTTGAGAAGGAGAAAACCGACCGGAATGCTTTAGGTTTATCAATAACGAAGATAAACATGGACAACCTTATATGGCTATAAGTCAGGAAATGTTTGTATAAAACATTAAAAAGCAATACCGGTATACCAGGTTATGAAATATGATACAATATTTACAGGAAATGTTGATTACTGTCATATACATCGTGAGTATCTCCATGAGATACACACCGGTAATCTTTGATTTGACTCTTTTAAATTCGTTGTAAATATGACTGTTATTCATTTTGAAATAACTCCTGTAATACTTTGCAATTGCTCAAAATCGAGCAACATGTACACTAGTACTTATTTAATACGCAAGCAGGATTTTTGTGACAATTACTCCTCCAAAACTATGGCACCGATTGACATGTTTTTGGTCTCATTGGAAAGAGCGTAACGTGAAGTTGTGCAGGAAACTTTCTTTTTAGGGAAATAATTAGATAGTGAGGCCCTGGGGCCCTTCAGGCCCCGGGTACGATACGAGCGGCGCCGCTCTGACATCGGATCTAATTTAGTTGCGTGTAAATTCGTTGAGGGTGGCCACGATACGTCTGAGCGGCGAGCGGCACCGCTCAGCGCCGCTCATGGTTCCAAGTCAAAACCGATTTTCGCAAAAACGCCGCTCACCGCTCAGATGAGTCATGCTTCAGTTCGACCTAAAATGACAGGGAAACATCAGCAAACATGCGATACGGGTCGATACTTGAGGTGCAGTTTGGGGAATGTTTGTGGAATGATCAGCACGGAAGTTTTAAAACACTTCAATCACCAGAAAATTATGGGACCAAGTTAGGGTTAAGGGTTTTCTAAAAACTAAGTTTTTCTTTAAAGGCAAACAATTGTCAGATAGCAACAATAGTTGCAATAAGCCTTGCAGGTAAGCATAGTTTACCATTTCGCCTAAACTGACTCATAAAACTGGGAAATTTGATGAGCGTTATAAAAGTGCCGCTTGTATCGTAGCCACCACCGCCACTTACGTGCAGCTCAGGTTGCCGCTCGCGGCTCGTATTGTACCCGAGGCCTTAAAGTTTTATATTTCTCCATAAGATTAACGTGGGAAACAAAATTGTTAAGAAACTCTAGCTGTCAGAAATTAAAAGTGAGAAGAAGAACATATGTTAATTGTATACAGTCAATAAGTTTGCTAATTTAACAGTTTGCTACAAACATTTACTAACTTGGTTGAAATGAAATGTTTACTATTTAAATTTGGGTTGGCGTAAATATTACAATGGAAAAAAGCGAGAGAGCCTGGATAAATTGATATACTAAAAAAAAAACTGAATTAGGCTAACACTGTGCTGCATTTCTTTGTAATCATTGAAAGAGCTGATTTGCTAACTATGGAAACATAAGAAAGTCATAGAACATCACCAAGGATAAGAAATAAAAATATTGTTTTTTTTTTTAGAATTTATAATCGTTATTATGGACAACCTAATGCGGATATGAGTAAGGCTATTTGCAGAAAATACTAAAAAACAAAATCAGCTTTTGAAAAATGATAAGATATTTACAAGAAATTGTGATTATATCGATCTGTTGTATACACCATGAATATTTCCAAAATCCTTCAGTCGAATCTCTTAAAGTCATAAGAAATTATGACTGCTATTTGGTTTAAAATAACGCCTGTAATACTTAGCAATTGCTCGAATTCGAGCAACAGGGACACTAGTTTTGTAAATCATCTTGTGTATTCTGTAACACACTAACTTTTAACTTAAACTTGCTTAACTAACTTTTAAAATGCAGGTGGCCCTCTCCTTGAATAGGTACTAGATCAGGAATAAAATGCAGTATTTTAATTTCATTCAATAAAATATTTTAATTTCATTCAATAAAATATTTTAATTTCATTCAATAAAATAGGTCTATCGTAGGTTCTTTGCGGAACTGTAACCAAGAAGGGATCAATATTGGTCACTCTAAAATTTCAACCTTAAAAAATTGTATTGAGTCCAAGTTTCTGTCGATAAGTGTTTCTGTTTGGGCACTAGGCCTAATCCAACTTGTATTTAGACATCACTAAATCGTCACATTTACAAAACTTCAACGATCCTAACTTAGTGGACTCTAAGAGCTGACTAAATATTTTTGGATACTCAACAAACATATTAGTTAGTAAGTTAATTGACTCAACTACTGGTACCAAAAATCGTAACTCCCAATCAATTTACCTACTTGGCGTAAATGGTCTAGGCCAAGGCCTAATATTTTTGCTTCTCTTGGGCGTTAAACTATGATTTTCTAACTTGTCTCAGCGTTGTAATACCATAACACCTTCCTTTCAGGTTAATTTTGATTTATAGATTTAGGCCTATCTTATGATTTTAAGAGTCAAAGAAGTGATCCTGTAGTTTAACAGACATTAGAACTATCTTTGATGACATTTGATTTTCTGTTCTTTATAAGTAGGCCTAATACCTTTGTCTGCAGAGAACCAGATATTCCATTGCCAAGCCAAAGTTGTCGTTAGTTTCCGAATAAATATCGAGCTAGTTCAATTGAGCCTTTGACAGGGTGTGCTGATGTTGGTCTCTGATTAAGCTGTTTCAAACTGAGCAACTCGACACCGACATGCTGCTGACACCAACATTACAAATCGGTTAGGCATTTCACACTACCATCGGGTCGGGGCAACTACACAAATCTTTCTGTCAGTAAAAAACTCACCTCATTTTGCAGTGGGTGGCAAAACTCCCAAACTTTCTCGCAATTTTGATTTTTGTTGTCCTCGTACGTCTCATATATTCGGCTTTAAAACAAAAACAGGAAATAGCAAATTTTCTAAAGCTAACAACAAATATAAAGCTTCTTACTAATTAGGCTGTTTCTAGTTGAGATTGACTAAAACCCCAGTTGGGATAAAAACCCCACGTGGCACACTGTACAAAGTAACTTACAGCTTATTCTGTTATTGGTATGAGATACTCTTTTACTCTTTATTGTAGGTTGAACCTGGTGAAAACCTGCCGGATAAAATATGCAACGTCTGCATAGATGAGCTAAAACGATGGCAAAGATTTAAAAAGCTCTGTGAATTGTCTAATGAAGAATTGATTACAGGAATGCCTCCTCTCCCAGACGAGGTATGGAAGATACAAAATTTACTTTATAAAAAAAAAAAACAATTACTGTACTTCTATCAAAATCTTTTCTTGGCTGTAGGCTTATCTCACTCATATGTTATAAATGTCAGTTTTAAATTTCAAACTTATAGTAGTCTGTAAGATCTTTTGTTTTTTGAATTGAAGTGTGCATGGATTTTAAAAAATGGATCAAGCACCTCTGGTGTAAAGTGATGGTTATTTTATCCCCCAACGAGCCAATGTGTTATTTTCAAATAAATACCATTTGAACACCATATACTAAATTTTCATTGAAGTAGGCCTAAATCTCAAACTCTAAATTGGATTTTAAAAGTATATTATAATTCAGAGTTAATGGTATATTAAGCATAATTCTTTTCACTTTAAATCAAACTGATGACTGTTTTGTCCCTTCCCAGGTTTTAGAAAAGAATTTACAGAGCAAAAGTGACAACTTGGAAACATCATCTGATTTTGGCTTGGGAGACGTGAGTTTGCTTGAACACGATTCACTGTTCAATAGCATAGATGGCTTCAAAGACGGAAATATAGTTGGCAATGATTTAATCACTAGCAAACCATTCTCGAGCTTAAATAACAACTGTGAAAACATTGGCAATTGGAATAAAAGGGAAGAGCAGTTGGAAAATGAAGCAGAGGATACAGTTCTAAGAGAAAATAAGAGGAGCAAATGGAGAGAAAAATATTCAAGGATCTATTTGAAAAAGTACAATTGCGAGTTGTGCTCTAATGTTTTCTCCAAATTCAGCCAACTACTGCAACACGATCGAGTCGATCATAAGGATACAGATAAGACTGTGGCGTGTGATAAGTGTGGAAAGTTATTTATCTCCAAACATAGGTTGGAAACTCATCACCGAATGAAGCACGGTGACAAGATATACGAATGTGATATATGCGGGCTCAAAAGTGTCTCTGAGAAATCGTTGAAAGTTCACAAGACCCGACACAGCAAACGTTTCATCTGTGACGTTTGTGGCCTCGTTACCAACTCCAACAGGAGTTTACAGGACCACAAACTTGCACATATGGATGCACAAAGTAGACCTGTATATGTCTGTGACATTTGTCATCGAACATTCAAAAACAAACAATGGTTTGACACTCACATGTTAACGCACACGACGGACAAAACCGAGTGGAAGTGTAAGGAGTGTGATAAAGAGTTCAAGAATCTGCAGAGTTTCAACAGACATAAAAGTGCACATTCGGATGAAAAGACAGCTGTTTGTGAAGAGTGTGGTGCGGTTTTGAAAAATAAAATGACCCTCTATATACACAAACTGAAACACAAGGAAAAACAACACATGTGCCAGCTCTGTGATAAACTTTTCCAAACAAAAAATCTTTTGAATAGACATATGACAGTTCATCTAAACCCATCACATCGTTGTTCTATTTGTAACAGGGTTTTCAGTAGGAATGACATTTTAAAGAAACATCTTAAAACACACCATAAAACTATTGCAAGCCAATGAAAAAACCTTACACAATAAAGTAAAACGTAAAACACTATCCAAGGAAAAAATGACAATATTGGATTCTTGTTAATAAGTTTTTACAAAATAAACAGCACTGTAAAAAAACTTGTTAACTTGTAATATACCCTGAAATATTACGTAGCTTAGCATTATAAAAACACCAAACATATTTGACTGATTGAAAACAACCTTTTCTATGACTTTATTTTGTACCGTACCTTTAAATAGACTATGCAAAAGAAGGCAAATGTTTAATTAAAAAGACGTCAAATATATTTTTTTGAAATGTTTATTTAGTAAAATACACAATGGTTTGACAAAAGCTGATGATGATACAATAATTAAATTAAAATAACATAAATTATAACAAACAACAGAACTAATTAAAATTAACAGACAAGTTTTCCTTTAAAATGAGCATTCTAACTAGCATATCGAATAAAATAGTATCAAAATAGGCTGACCATTAAAATTGTACAATTTCATATAGGCCTACCATTATAAATATTGTCATCAAATATTTTTCTGTTGTGCTGATTGCTTAATAAAGTAAACAAAATCTAAAAAAAAGTACATTAAAATGACAAACATAATACAAAACTTTCCACATACAGTTGTTAATCTCCAATGAACAGTGAGTGAGCTATAAATTCCAATAAATTATGTGTAAAAACTAAAATAGGCTTATATCTACAAAAAATATATCTTCTCTTAAACATACGACTTGATGAAACAACTGTGCTCGACTATGTAGTTGCCAAAATAGGCTATCTTAAATGGTATTAAATTCTTGGTACTGTATTTTTATTCCCATGCAAGACTAGGTATTGCAATAGTTTTAAAATAGTATATTACTTTTGCATACGCTTCAGTTTGAGTTCGGGTTTGTAATGTTGTATTTCACTAGTGAAGAACTTTAATTTAACGTGCATAATATCAACTGACTTTACATGGTGCACAATGGAAACACCATTTACTTTTAGTACGATGCCTACCAAAAGCATTTGCTTGTAGATTTCTCTATGAACCATGTAAATTTTGTAATAAATTCTCATCGATTTTTAGAATGATTAACACATTTTACCCCACGCCGCCCGGGGGTTAAGTATTAAAATTATTCAGAGTACCCGATACGATAATCAAAAGATGCCAGCAGTTACCTAAACTGGAGCTGTTTTTCAGGCCATCAAAGAAAATGGTATTGTAATTTCCAAGAAGAAGAAGAATTATACTTTAGATTCTATCTTTAAACTCCACCATGTTCAAGTCTACGATTTCTTGCAATTTTGGGAATTAATGTATTTTGTATCAAAACTAAAAATAAAAACCTTCCCTGGACGATTGAAACTGTAGGTCCCTGAATAGCATGATCTCAAATTCATTTTAATTTAAATGTAAATTGGTTCATAACAAGGTTATTGAAACTTAAATTATAGGTTTAATATGCTGTAGCATTTTATTTTATATATTTTGGCATGTGATGCTGCTGCTAGTATATACATCAATTGACATTGAAAATATAATCTATTTGTTTATTTTTCAAAATTATTATAATTTTATACATTTATTGCGTTTTTCTTTAATAAGATTTTTGCGGATGGAAGATTCAGCTCATCGTGGTTTGCTATCAGTGTACATGCACTACTTTTTAGATATGCGCATCCTGAGTTGTGCTTATCTGTCCTCAAAATGAACTGGCCAATAGTAAGCTCTTATTTCAAGGTTTTTACCATATATGGTATTGTGGTCATGTCGAATTGACATGGTGGGGATTTTGCGATTCTCATACTTTTGTCACTAACATAATTCATTCCACTATCAGACATCGAGCAGCACACCAGGGTCTGTAAGTAGCCCCCTATTCTTCCAACTCAGATGACTAAGTATTTTCTAAATTACTTCTGTTAGGGCCGATACCATCTGTTATGTCAATCCCATTGTTTTGCCTAGTAGTACTAATATCTAAAGTACTTTTATTAAGATATATATATTATGCTTTAATATTTTACCAAAGATGTATTAAATAAATATTACTTTACACTTGTTGAGATGTTTTAATTTACAACATTTTGCCCTGCCATCCTGGCGCACGACAATTTTGGTGTCAGAAGTGGGATTGATATTCGGATGGTGCCTTAAATATTTTAATAATAGCAATGTTCAATGGTGGTATTTTTGGTAATAGCTTTATATGTAATAGGGTACTGTGTACACTTGTATTATATTAAGTAGAAACTATACGATATAAGCTGGGGTCTAAGTCAAGCAAAAAATTTGAGCCAGCCTGTATGGAAAAACGTTCTTTTGGGAAGCCACCTTCTTGTGGGTCAAGTACGGCTAGTAAAGAACCAATAAAATCCGAATTATTCACTAAGATAGGGACACGTTCAGCTGTGATAACTGCTCGTTACGAACATGTTTATCCTGTAAATCAAGGTTTTAGTCAAAACAGTAGTCAAAGTATAGCCATCTGTAGACCATGTGTTATGTCAATCCCATTGCCTAGTAGTACTAATATCTAAAGTACTTTTATTAAGATAATTATGCTTTAATATTTTACCAAAGATGTATTAAATAAATATTACTTTACACTTGTTGAGATGTTTTAATTTACAACATTTTGCCCTGCCATCCTGGCGCACAACAGGCACTTTATCAAAATATACCAGCCTATCTTAAAACAAGGATAAATCCATTTGTTAGCTGAAACATCCAAACTAAATGAAACAATATAACTTAAGTTTGTTTCAGGTTTTATTTTTCATCAGTTGACTGAAATGTTTCTTAAATTTAAACATTCTTTAGAAGATTTTTTTAAAATGCTCTTGATTTAGATATAAGCCTTAAAAATTATAAAGAGCATTTAATTTTGAATCCAGTATTTTTTATTACCAAAGCAAATACCTCATGTAGTGCATTTGTAGATTTCTTAAGAATTTTGCTAAACTGTTTTACATACAACTGTAAGAATTCTACGTCACTCAAAAATGTTACACAACACAAATTTTATTTCCAAATCACTACCAAGAACGATAAAACCAGGCTAATTAACATCACAGCAAACAAGAAACTAAAGAGGTTAACAATTTAAACAAAATTTAACAAATTGACTGCCTCCAAACCTCACACGAAAAAAGCAAAACAGTTATTTGGCAACAATGTTTATGGATTCAAAATAACAATAAACTTTTATGGCAGTAAAAGTCAATATTATACAAGCGTTCACACCTCACTCTCAAGAAAAATAAACAACTCTCAAAAAAGGCACATAAAACAATGATATTCTTTGCAAATTTCAACATAATTTTGTGTGATGGCTTTCAAGACTTGTTTGGTCAAAGCAATCTAACAAATTGTAGTCTATTTATAACTTGACAATATAACAATATTTCGGTAATAAATCTTTTGTTTATGAAACAAAATGAAGTAGGACAGAAAGTATCTACAACTCTCAATTTTTTCCCCTTTTTTGTATTAAGCAATACAAATTTGATATAAGTACGGTTCTTGGTGCAAGCAATCTTTTTATTTTATCTTAACAAAATGTCTTGAGACTATTCACCATCCTTATCTACTGTTCAATAAATGCATAAGCAAATTTTGAAAACAATGAAACAAGGCCCTTGCCTCAGCTATGTCAGCTGCCTCAGTTATGCCTCAGCCTGTCGGGTCAGCTAGTTAAATATATTTTAATTTTCTAAAAATAATTTACTAACATATAATCAGTTGTAGAAGAATAAAAACAAAAAAAAACTTAAAACGACAAATACTGGCCACAATAAGATCTACAAAAGTCCTACAAATAAAAGTAAACACATAATAAATTATTTAAGTACAACAATTTTTAAAGTGCTTCATCAATATAATCTCTGTACCACTAAATCTAAAAAGGATTGGTTTACTCCAAAGAAGATGAGATAAAACAAGATGTCTGTACCAATAAAATATACCCCCACGCAGCAAACCTACAGACAAAGCAGATTTATATTTGCCTGATACAAAAATATTTTCTTTATCATGTCAGATGTTTTCCATAATATTTAAAATAAGGTTTCTGTTTCAACGTCAATGTCACTTTTAATGTTTTATTTTTTATAAGGAAACACGAGTTTAAAGTTCAACACATTTGATAAGATTTGACTAGTACTTAGGGTTGCTGATAAGATAAGGGAAGTAAGAAAGTGTGCTTTTTAAGAAGTCTTGTTTAAGAAAATTGGTACTAACTTATAATCTCAAACGTACTAATTAATGGTTTGTTATTTATACTATTACTTGTATAGTTTCCAAAAATACTTCCAAATTTAAGAGATTAAAAATCCTTCCCCAAAGCTGAAATCCGTTCTTGTCCTTCCCTAAAATAAATTGAGAACTCGTACATTTGAATACAAGCACATTGAGGAACTAAAATACACAAGTTGTACTGGAGCGGAACCTTAAACGAAAACAAGATAATCCGACATCTACAGAATAAATAATACATTGTGAAATGTTGATGAGACGTGACTATGTACATAACCTTAAAGCTACAACAATTATGTGAAGCGAGTCTATCGTATAAAAATTGTTGAAAAATTTTACACGTACATTGTACAGTGGAATCACATGATGTTTTAAATATTTGTACATAATTAAGAAACAAACCATAAAACTGGTTTGACAACGAAGCTACTGTGTAGTTATCACAAATTTACTTGACGAGTAGGAAGCCGTGGACATTGACAATGAACTTGTCAAAGTTATCTCTAAACCTCATCTTCTGCGGTCGTTCTGTATTGAGAGTGACATTGGTCGTCAGTTCTGTAAAGGCCGCCGCTAACCTCTGCGCAGTTTCTGAATCTGTCTGGCTGTTGATCAGGTTCTGGACTATCTCTTGATAATCCTCCTGCAGGATTATCAGTTTGTCATTAAACACAAACTTGGAAGGGGAGAAAAACATATGAGTGTTATCCTGAGAGTCAATTTTTGATTTTAGAACCGCATTTTTTAACCTACCTTGCCACATTTATTTGGTTGACTAAGAAATATTTTAGTGTAAGCATTTTAAATACAAATACAGTAGACCTTCTCTAAAACGACCTAGCATTAACCAAAAATTGATTATCTATTTATCGTAATTTATTAGTTTTTATTTTTTTTTAACCAACTTTGTTTTGAGAGCAGTTTGGTTAAACCACCACATTCTAGGAATCTCTGCATTTCCGCTCCCACGCTCGGCGATGGGAACAATACGCTAAACTCTACAGGATGTAGCTAAGAATAAGTTATTTTTACATAGCCTATCCTAAAAAAATTGCATATTGATATAAATAAACATCCTTTTTTGTAACGAAATGGTTGCTTGTAACTTTAATTTCTCCAATAAGTTATTTACTGATTACGATGAATTTGGATAGCGTCAATTAATATTACAAAAGGAATTAAAATAAGAATTTTTACTGACTCTTGCCTTGTATACACTAGTATTAATTCATCAGTTAAAAAAAGTTAAGAAAACAAGTTTTTTTACTAACAAATTATTACATTTTTAAACAAGCTTGAGCACTTCACAGTAGTAGATTTGATGAGAATAAAGCAATTTCAAAACATTTTTAGAACCGTCTTGTTTGTGTTAACTTTGTAAAACTTTGAAACTCTCCACCTCACATTGTTCAAGAATACTAAGACCACGTACCTGATAACAACATATCAGTATGAAGAGAGCTGGTCCAGCTTGGTCTGAGTTGATTTGATGGGACAAAATGAGGTCCATCAGCATCTGAAAACATAAATTGTGTATCACACTATGCTGCACTACTAAAGGAACTATACAGAATGTTCCTAAATGATTATTGAGAGGTTGTACCTACTATAATATTGATAAAAAAACTATGTAAATTTAAAAATTAATACATACAATACAAAACAAACCCATTTTTGGCCCGAGCCCTAAAGTTCAAAATTGTTTACTCGACGCAAAATAAAAAATCTTGCTCGCCGACTCCTATGGACAATGAAGCCAAAAAACAACAAATTTAAAAGCGTCATAGTTCTGTAGCTCCAGACTTTATACAGTTTGTAATAAATACTCAGATCACTATAATTTTAAAATGGATATGCATACAAACTAAAGGAATATAACTGATTTATAATTTTTTAAATAACAATTCGTACTAAGTAAATAATGCTTCTTAACACGTTGATACGGCCTACATTATTTAATAGAGTGCGGGACTGGCGCGCGCGGCAGACTACGTTAAACTACGTAGCACTGCTAACTCAGTATTGATCTAGTGTGAGCTCAGCTTCGCACGGGGAACGACATTTCGCTTGAAGCTTGCTGTGCCAGTTTAATACTTTAATCTGGTATAATTTGTTTTCAGATCCGACAATTTCGTCGGTGGTGGGGACTAGTGATGGTCAATACCAGAAATTTCAAATCTCAAAACCAAAACCGAAACTTTTAAAAATCGAGTTACAAATGTCAAAACCTTAACGCGAAACTTTTTTACTTAGCTGGTAAAAAAATACAGGTAATCTATACTATTATACAAAAATCTAATGGTGTCTGTCTGTATGTGTATTACTAAGGCTAGGATTATACTAGGACGCTGGCGTCCGAGAGGCTAGCGTCCCAACTCGAGCCGAAAAATGACGTGATTTGTGTTGGCCTCTCGGACTGCCATTTTATTTCAATGTTTAGTCACTTTTTGTTTATATCTATTTAAATAACATTAGGTTTAACGAGTACCAAGGTTAGATGCTTTAAGGGGGCTAATAAAGTGTGTTTTTTTGTAAAATACTGTATTATTAGCTTAGTATAAAACAAATTGGCCAAGTTTAATTTAAATATATCCATACACAAGCAAATTCCAACACTTAACAACATTTTCTATAAGAATAACATGGCAATTTTTAATATACTCTTTTTTTAATTTTCTCCATAACTAATAACAGTACAAAAACACTTAAAAGCTCATTAAAATTGTCTAGAGAGAAATTGTGATTTTTTTAGTTTTATGGATCAAAAATGACAAACCCCCTTTTTTTAGCACATAAAACCCCGTTCCCAAGGTATGTTCATGCTGGTTCGCGAACTCATTCAAATTTATCCCACCCTTCACCTTAAAACCAAATTTCTTCAAAATAGAACAAAAGTTACTCCAGTTATCGCGTTTACAGACATTTACATATGATATTTAAATCTATACGAACGGATGGTGTTTTTGGCCTCTGGGGACATCAAAATGAAAAAGTAAATCGGTCCCGGGCCTAGGTCTTACCATGCCACCTACGGTAATAACTTCGAGCTTTCGGTGGCTTTTTTTAGCATCCGACGCTAGCATCCATAGTATAATCGCCCCCCATTTGATTTAATGCCCCGCTAGCGTCCCGGACGCTGGCCTCTCGGACGCCAGCGTCCTAGTATAATCCTAGCCTAATAGGTGCAAAAACTACTGAACCAACTGGGCTAAAATTTTACAAAAATATAGTTACCATACCAAGGACCATTATAGGAATATTCACATTTCGATACTGACCGTAGGCTTTGCCCCTTTGGCTTTAAAAGTTCTGATGTGAAGATTTTAAAAGTACGAGTAAATATTGATTGGTCTCCATGGCTGTGATGAGAACACTAACAATGTTTGTTTACATTTGCTTTGACATTTAAATGTAAACAAGAAGAACTGCTAAACTGCATATTTCACAACTTCAGACAGCTGATACAAAGAAATTAAATATAATATTTTCCATAACTATGAGGTAGGTTTATTTTAATCTAACCTTTTATCATGGATTATTTATTCTAAAACTATGTCAATGATTATATAAAAAAAAGATTCTATAACCGTTGCTGTATCAACTCCGGCTCTGCTTTGGATTTTTTTAAAGCGTCTAAGTTATGAAAATAATATTATTTATATGATTTCATGGAAACAGTATGAAAATTACAATGTATAGATGTTTTATATGTTAAGCAGTTATAATTTATTTAAAGTAGCCTCCAAATTCTACTTTAAATAAATTATAACTGCTTAACATGTGTTAGATTAAACTAAAGAATATCATCAATAACTAAATTGTACGTCGTTGATTTTCGTTTTTTAAAATCTGTTGTATATGTGTAACTATAATTAATTATCAAATGGTAATACAAAAAACTCTTATCTTAACATAGCTTTCAGTGCTTTCAGTTCACATTTACTTTATTTGATAAATTTATTATTTGTGTTTTGCCACTCCACTGATTAAATTAAACCAAGGAAAATATCATAAAACTACTGTCGGGTCAAAAAGTATAGATACTCGAGTTTGAGCTTTTATTGCAACGTAACCAGTTGACGTAGAAAAATACAAGTTACATCACATTTTTAAGAATTTATTTCTGCGTTTATGTGTGTTGGTTTCAAATTTTTTATTCAGTTTCAACTTAGCCTTTCAGCGGGTTGAATGAAAAAGGTACAGGTTTTTCGGCGCTTTACCAACAACGGGCGACTTTAACATTTTATAACAAACAAACTACTTATCTAATCGTCATGAAACTTTTAAAGCTTTTAGAAAATATACTTATAAAGCATATTTATAAGTTTTAGAATTTTTCGTCAATAAAAAAAAATTCTGTTATGGTTTTTGTAAAGGCATTTTATTTCAGAGACGGAACAAGTTAGAAACTCCGATGAAAGCTTAAAATAAAGCTCTTAAAAAGATACGAATGAAAAGTTGAGTTGCACATTAGCTAAGTGGTCTTTAATAATTAAAATGGACGTATAATCAAAGCTGTTCTGAAACGCAATAGTGCGTGAAATTTGTACCGCTATCGATCCGCAGGCAGGGAGTTCTCCCTGCCCAGGACCGGTTTTGGCAGCACGGACGCTCGAACGATGAATCATACATACCCCACGAGGTTATCTGCCTACGAACCACCCTTACTCCACTCCTACCACTGAGTCATACATAATTACATACATTCCATCCCTACAATGTTATATTGTGGTCTAGACATATTTTCCTCAGCCTATCTGTGTTACTCGTTGTAGTCAAGATGCCCAGAGCGCCACATTATCAGAAGGTGAAACCTACTGTGATTTTAAAGGCGATATGTTTTGTTCTTTTGGAGTCAAGTGTAATGACAAGCGATACTTATTTTAACAGAAGGTTTCGGAGTGCGTTTGGAAGTCGATTGCAACTGTGAAGATATGGTTAGGGGTAGGTTTATTGTAGTGATGTTCGTCGGTTTGATCCGTGCTGCCAAAACCGGTCCTGGGCAGGGAGAACTCCCTGCCTGCGGATCGATAGTGGTACAAATTTCACTCACTATTGCGTTTCAGAACAGCTTTGATTATACGTCCATTTTAATTATTAAAGACCACTTAGCTAATGTGCAACTCAACTTTTCATTTGTATCTTTTTAAGAGCTTTATTTTAAGCTTTCATCGGAGTTTCTAACTTGTTCCGTCCCTGAAATAAAATGCCTTTACAAAAACCATAACAGAATTTTTTTTTATTGACGAAAAATTCTAAAACTTATAAATATGCTTTGTAAGTATATGTTCTAAAAGCTATAAAAGTTTCATGACGATTAGATAAGTAGTTTGTTTGTTATAAAATGTTAAAGTCGCCCGTTGTTGGTAAAGCGCCGAAAAACCTGTACCTTTTTCATTCAACCCGCTGAAAGGCTGAGTTGAAACTGAATAAAAAATTTGAAACCAACACACATAAACGCAGAAATAAATTCTTAAAATTATGATGTAACTTCTATTTTTCTACGTCAACTGGTTACGTTGCAATAAAAGCTCAAACTCGAGTATCTATACTTTTTGACCCGACAGTAAGCAGTACACTGTGTTCCTTTTATTTCTAAAATCAATGAAATATCTGTTACTATGTTTACTTAATGGTAAGTGAGCAATATGTAAAGGCAATGGACGATGGAACTGATTAAAATAACTGGTTTGTATATTAAGTTGTTTCTTGATATTTTTGTAGAGTAGAATCAGAGATGCAGTGAAACATATACTGTATTTTCTGTTACATTTTTTAGTCCTTGGTGTTTTTATAATCATATTAGTTTTGTCTACTGTGTTTAATGCTTAATTATTTGTTTAGAATTTTGTATAGTACCTATAGATATAGTTTCTTTAATATTTCAAAAAACTGTATTGTCTTTAATGCTAAATTATTTGTTTAAAATTTTTTATAGTACCTATAGATATAGTTTCTTTAATATTTCAAAAAACTGTATTGGTAAGGCACAGCAATATTTCTTAAGTTTATAACAGCTGACTTTGTTTTGCTAATGATTTATTGTGAGTGAAGATACTGAAGATGGAAGGATTTGCGATTTAATATAAAGAAGAGTGAAATTAAAAAAAAATGTTCATTTAAATTTAATAATCTATAATATTAAAACAAAACAGAGTTTTTTTTATTTCACGATTCTGAATCAACCTCTTGACGGATATTCATGATTTTTGTTTTGAAAGAAAGATAATTTTGAGAACTAGGGAATGTCGAAGCCATAATTTTAGTTCATGGTTTCAGATTTTAGAAATTAAGTTTTAATTTTTAAAAAGTCTAGCAGCCGACGCTAGCATTTTAAAGTATTTTCAATGCTGGTTTAACTAACAGCTGGTTTATAACTGTCATTAAGAATAAGAATAAGAATAAGAATCCATTTATTGTCATTTGTCAATTTACATTGCTATAGACAACGTCAAAGAAATACATTAAAGTGCAGTGTTAATGCAGTACATTGAAATGTTTATGTTACGAGTTGTT